GATTAGTTTTGAGGGAGAGAGGGGGCCGTACGGTTCACCTCTATTTTGTGCGCTGAGAAGCAGGCAGCTCTGCCCCACCAATCTCAGAACAGCAGGCACTGACAATTAAAGGTAATGTACCTCCCCATATGACTATAGGGATTACGGCAATAGACGAATTTACCAAAATGTCGAACTATCACTTTAAAAACTGAGCGTCCTGCAACCTCTTAAAGGCGGTAATGGCAGCCTCTGATTTCAGTTTATTTCTGCCTGGGGGGCAGCAGTTGTATCAGGATGGTCATGCTCCCCTGGCCCCACTTTGGGGACGCCACTGTCACCACGTTTCACAATTTACAGTGAACAGTAAGCAGCCATCTTGATAGAAAGTAAGCATAAAATGTTTCCACAGAACTAATAGAAATGAGAAGTAACTAAACTAATAATAAATAGATAAACTGCCAAATTGTATTTCTATATCAGATTTAACTCTTAATTCTTAATCTTATTTTCTTCTAATCTCATCTGTCCTTTCTTTGTCCTTGATGAGATAATTTATCACAGGATAAATTACTGTGTGGGCTCGCTGTTGTACGTAACAGAAAACAACATTTACACACTCGCACATGCAGGTTTCCATCCAAACACCAGCAGCTGATCTCACTGATTAGTTCCTTTTCTGCTGATGTTAATTAGTGGCAGCGGATCAAATCAGTCCAGCTCGGTAAACTCGTCATGATGGTCCATCATGTTTTTCAACACTTTTTTATTCTTTGTCTACTTGCTAAGACAGATAATTGGTCACGAGGTGATTGGGGTGTAATTTTTACAATTAGCAGGTTGAGAGTTTTTCCGGTGGATCAGAGCGGCAGGGACTGAACTGCTGCTGGAGAGATGGAAGTAGATTAATGACCTGTGGGAAAATTATTATTGATTCTGCAACATTATCTTGATTTATTAATGTGGATTGATTGCATGTAGACTCACACAGAGCAAAGCCAATTATCACAGAAGCTTTGGCTCACCTCAGCTGATTGTCACAATATTTTCAGTGTGATTGACAGTTCTATAATATCTATAATCTCACCGGTGAATGATTTGAATCTAAATGAAGAAAACAAGTTAATGTCGCCGAGGATAAGCATCCAGTGTTTACTCTACAGTCATGTGTGCAGGTAACTCTTATGAGAGTGGGACAAACAGACATTAATGACAGACATTCTAAATAAAAAACACACATATAAATAATAAGATTGATATGGCTGAGTTCCATTTAGCTGCTTCAGTTTCAGGGTCCTGGTATTGTCCATGCTAATTCACAGTGCCATTGCTAACTGGGACAATGTAAAAGAACAGAGCCATCGTTAATGTCATTAGTAGGCTAACACCTGTGCTTTTCCTTGGGTGGCCTTATTCTGACCATAGGTGTTTAATAATAGGGATTTTGACTTGTGATGGTAGAAAATTACACAGGTGCAGTGTGTCACATTCAGGACTTCGCCTGCTGTCTCACTGGTGAGACTTAGTGGGACATTTAGTGGAACAGAGTCATCATAAATGTTATTAATTGGAGGTCTTCTTGTGCTGTAAGAGTCAAACTGTCTGCTGTGAAAAAAGACGATAAACATTTAAAAATACACTTAAAAATACATCTATTCTCAATGGAATTGATGTCTTAGCATGATGTTATCCAGTTTTAGTATTGATAATGACCAATTCGCAATGCAGTTGATAAGATGGGCGTACTATTTGGTAGATGGCTAGGTTACTGAGGAGGAAGTGGGTATACTCTCCTTTATTTTCCAGTGGCTTTTTGGCTGATAGAACGATAAAGTGTAAACAGCCAAAGAGGTGGTTACACCCCATAAACCTGTGTATACTCTCCACTATACCACTGCTTATATTGCCATACAAAGGCAAAATGTTGCAACTACATAATTACATAAAACTGAGTTAAAGGTGAACTTCACCCATGGTGGTGGGGTCAGAGAGTCCAAAATCTTAGCACAATTCTCAAAAAACTCAAAAATTAGAGTGCTTAAACTCAAATTTGTGATGTCATAGGGCAGTGGTACCCAACTGGTCCAGCCACGGGGTCCAGATTTCTCCTTAGTCATTAGTTTCAAGGTCCACACAGTTATACGTATATTCAGCTTCATACTTGTGTTTGGCCATGTCACAAGCTAGTTTGCTAATCATTCACTGTACAGCAGGAAATGGCACTTCAAAATAAAAGCTATGCCCCAGAAATTCACTGTATGTCAAAATACAGTGTGTTTTTTACAATCATGACACGTTCCCGAGTCACTTGCAGTCCATTCAGAATGGACCTGCGACCCACCAGCTGGAAACCACTATAATAGACTAGCCATCAGTCTGCACAGGAAGTCATGGAAACACTTGCATCCTGTTAGATCTGATTTTGATTAATTGAAATGTTATCAGACCCATATAAGTTTGTTCACAGCCTCCAATTGATTTAATTATGAATGACTCACCTATTAAAATGCTTCACAGGTGTAATTTCTGTCCATGGTTCAACCACCACTTACATGAATTTTCATGTTTGCTGCTTTGTATAGCCTAAATCTGCTGAGCAGATCTGTCACCCTCAACTACATAAATACATTAAAAGCATTAGCATAATAGTCAATATGAGAAAGGGTTTTGAGTGAGTACTTAATGCTTTCAGATAAAATTGAATGTTTTTCTAAAGTGAAACCAGCATGTTTTTAGTGCCATAAAATCACTTATGCTATTGTGTGCCACCCTGTCATATTTATAGTATTTTTGTCACTTAAAAGATATTAAAGATGATGCAGTGAGTCCGTCAGCCACAGTAGTACAGAATGAGCCATAACTGCTACACACACATATTCAGTGTAGATAATATGGCACAGTAAAAGAACAGGGAAAGCGTGACAGAAAAGTTGGACATTTTTTTTAATAAATAGCCAGAGGTTATATTAATGATTTAATGAATTACTTACTGAGCCGGTAAATGGATTTAACCATTTAAAAACAAACATGACTGTCCCGTATTATCTAACCAGCTGTCCCATTTGACCTGATCATGTCATTGGTTTGTTTGAAGGTCAGGCACGTGCATAGATAGACTCCAGGTAGTGCTCAAGCACCTGCCCTCTGACTACATAAGTGTCCTCTTTTGCAAGACATTTATTTTTTGTTTCTTTTTCTAATTCAATATTCTAGTTTTTATTTGATATTTTAAGTTTCAAATTTGGCCCATGGCATCATTTCGCCATCAAAAGCATGTTGTAATGCCTGACAATAGCATCTGAGTTTTAATTTCACCAGTTTGCAAGAGGCCTGCCCCTCGCTCATCACGTCCGTTGTCACAGTCACCACAATTAATGCACTTAAATCAAATTTTGTTTCCCTCTACATAAATCAAGACATTTCTGTCATAAATTGATGCAGAAAAAAAATTCACCAGAATGCATGAAATGGAGTGTTGGAGGCTCAAAACTTCCCAGACTCCCAGACCTCCCTACTCGATACATGTCCTTCACAAACTTTAAACAAAATGACGCCCTTGTTTGCATCACTGTAATGGTAGTAAAATAAATATGTAAGCACAATGTGTTACTGTGTCTAACATCATTTTTTAACTTTTCTTTTTTCTAAATTTCCTTGACCACCTGCCTCCAAAAATGTCTCTGCACGGGACTGTCAAAGGTCCAAAGTTTATTTTACTTGGCGGTGTGGTGATGCAGTGCATAGCATTGTCACCTCACAGCAAAAAGGTCGCTAGTTCGAACTCATGTGTCCGTGGGTTTTCTCCGGGTACTCCGGCTTCCTCCCACAATCCAAAGACATGCAGGTTAATTGGTGACTCTAAATTGTCTGTAGGTGTGAATGTGAGTGTGAATGGTTGTCTGTCTCTATGTGTCAGCTCTGTGATAGTCTGTTGACCTGTCCAGGGTGTACCCTGCCTCTTGCCAATTGTCAGCTGGGATAGGCTCCAGCCCCCCGTGACCCCCAACAGGATAAGTGGTTATGTAAAAATGAATGAACATATTTTCTTTATAGAAATATAGCAGAGAACTATAACAAGTCCTAAAAGTAACATTTAAGGTACCCTTAAGAGTTTGAGGTGGTTTTCTTAGTAATCTACCAAATATTGTCCCAAATTACCTGACTTTAGATTCTATGCTCCATCCATCCATCCATCCATCCATCAAAGCACCCCAGACGTCCCTCTCCCTAGCAGCGCTTTCCAGCTCCTCCTGGGGGACCCCATGGCGTTCCCAGGCCAGATGAGATATGTAATCCCTCCAGCGTGTTCTGGGTCTGCTCCAGGGCCTCCTACCAGTGGGACGTGCCCGGGACACCTCTAACAGGAGGCACCCAGGAGGATCCTGATCAGACGCCCGAACCACCTCAACTGACCCCTTTTGATTCGAAGGAGTAGCAGCTCTACTCCGAGCTCCTCACCCTCCAAACCAAGCCACCCGGAGGAGGAAACTCATTTCGGCCACTTGTATCTACAATCCCATTCTTTCCGTCACTTCCCAGAGCTCATGACCATAGGTGAGGGTTGGGATGTAGATGGACCAGTAAATCCTATGGTCATTTTTTTTTAAATCAGTCATCATGAAATGTCCAGCTTAAAATAAAGCATTACAATCTCTTTTATATTTTCACTTGTAGATATGAATAGTGGTTGGTCTGTCATGATGATACCATGCCTCTGTATCGCACTAACTAGTCAGACTTTCATCCACCTGTTGAAGTGCTTCACATTAAAGTGGTTGAAATCACAGTCTGCATATAATTAGCTGTCAAGTTGCGACCACAGACTTTATTTATTATTTACTAACCAAACAAGAGGCTGAAATGTTAACAGCTTCATGAGGCTGTATAATCTCAGCTGATTTACAACATTATATTGAACACAAAGGTAGGAGGGGTGTCCACATACTTTTGGCCACATAATAGTGTAACTTTCACTTCCTTGTGGGCGGAGCTTTCTTTGCCGTTGCCATGAGAGACGGAGGTCGCGGGGCAACAACGCGTGGAGTTGGCAGAAATGTTTGAACACTTTAACGCAGTTTATTCAGTAAAATTATTTGTCGGTGTTTCTGCACAACTTTAGTCGACTTCTTGACAATACGCTCATCATGATTAATCGAAACTCTACGCTGTATTCGAGTCGTTTGGTGTGTGCGCGGAGCAGCAACGTCACTGGACGTCCGGGTCTGAAGGAGCCGGACTCCCTGGAGACTCATCCCCGCCGACAGCTGCAGGTGAGCCGGCGTGGCTGCCTGGAGGCACCGCGGAGACCGAGTGAGCCCCCCAGACTTCCCTCCCATCTTGAGACTAAACCAGTGATCCTGCGCAGTGTGAGACAACAACACGTGTGGAAGGTATTTCAGCTGTTAGTTATTATTCATTACAGTTTGTTTTGTTTGTCTTTGTGTGTATAAAAGGGAACGTCAGACTGTATAATATCTTCTCTCAGATGACTTCCCCCACCACTACCCCTGTAAACACATCATCATCAAATCATTTTGATGCTTTGAATCAGGATTAACTTCAAAGATGGCTGGCAGTTTATTTATCTCACCCAAAATAAAAAAAGGCTCATTTGAAGCAACCCAAACTCTCTCTCTGTCTCTGCTATCTTTTTTGTGATTTCTGATTCATCCCATCGCATCTGGCAGCTGTTAAAGATTAGAAAGTCTTCATCTTCCCTCCTGCCTTTCCTCCCTTGAACTGCTAATGCCCCTCTCAAGTGATATTTTCATATCTGTCTGTGTATATGTGTGTGATCCCTTTCATTTCATGGCAGCGCTTCTATCTCTCATTCATCAGTAACCCCAGCTGCCCCCCCGTCCTCTGAACAGAGCTGTCCAATCCAAGACCTTTTTAAATGCTCGCTGACTGCCCTCAAGCACATTGAGTGTGTCACAAATGAAATTTTCTAGCCCAGATGAAAACGCATCTTGGACGTGCAGTCAAAGGACGGGAAACACACCCATGGCTCAGTTTATTTTTACCATCCTCAGCGTGTGATTTGAGTTTGAGAGGATCTCAGAGATAGTTTTGAAGGCCCGGTGGGCTCTGCAGAGTCAGTTTTCATAATCAGCAACACAGATGCTGCGTCTGATCCCCCCAAAGCCTGTTCCCACTAACAAATGCATTTGAAGTAAGACATTGCCAATTGTGCGATGATTACAGTCACCTATGCTCAGGGGAGGGCTCGGCGGTGGCAAGTCACATCGACTCATGAGGCTTCAAACAGCCCGCCACAGATCCACGGGATATTAGCGGCTAATGCATCAAGGGGGATGAAGTGTCAAATGGCTGGTTTGTTCCCGTGGACACTGCATTCATCATAGTTATTGTGAGGCTGGCTCAGTCGCTGAGGCTGGCCGGCGAATAGAGAGACGTGGTCTATATCAAAACTGACACATCAGAATGGAGTGGCTTATCTATGAAAATACATTTTGGGAAAGCAGTTTTACAAGTTATTGCAGCCAGCGATGAGTCAGAAATAATACGGAGCGGTGCTTGAACCTCAGTGTAACATAAAACGATGGTATTGGCCGAAGAAATGTATTTGCTGAATTGGTTAAGCCTTGCCTGTTGCCAATCCATTGTCTCTATGACTACAGTGAACAAGAATCGGCCGGTATACACTGTAAATCACCAAGGAGGGAAAACAAGGCAATCTCATCGTCTGCAGTTTCCTGCTCTGTGTTATTACATTTACAATGCTTTTGATTCAGCTCTCTGTGGTGCTGTTAAGACAAATGCAATACTAACAACATTGTTTGGTGTGTGTGTTCCTCCTGGGTGTTGATGGAAACACACAGGCTGCAGAAAGAACAGTTTTCCTATTACATGTATGTATTGGAGCATGCACCTCCTGTGTGTGCACATACAGTATTCATACGCTGAGGTCTCTGTTCTCTGTGTCCACCGACGTGGCAGAGAGGCAACAACAGTGTCCCGGTTTGACTCGAAAGAGATTTGCAGCAAATGAGCTCATCCATCAGCAGAAGCGTGTGGGGACAAGGGGATGATGAGGAGAAGGAGGGTGAGGAGGAAGATGAAGAGAGACGGTGGGGCGGAGCAGGGGCCGAGCAGAGACAGGGATCGCTCAGAGAGGAGCCTCGCTGTGAAATATGATGGCCGTGGCATTTCCGTGCTCTCTGGCACCTTCTTTTGTCCTTTGGATGTTGCAGCTCGAAGACCTGAGCTCAGCTTGGTCCTTGTCCAGTTCATCTGCTGCTTTGCCATAAATCTAAAAAAGTCATGACATTTAGGGGAGTAGCACTTTTAACTGCATTAACCACCAACAATTCAGCAGTTTTTTTCCTTTTCCCTAACGTAACAGTTGGGAAAATAATCCTGTCTGGCACTTTCATATTCTGTAATCAACTTTTCATTGAAGATATATCGCATTGACAGTGATTTAAATAGTCAAACAACAAGATTTCATTGTTTTTATGGCTGCACCATCATTAAATGGAGATATCCTCGATGGCTTGTCCACCATTTTAGACACATGTCCCCCCAAAATTCAGCCTGCCATAGTTGGTATTGTCAACATTGAGATCCCAAGTTCTCTAAGTTCGAACAGCGTTTTGCTGCACAGCTTGACTTTCTACCAAGTGACCTGCTGAATGGTCAGTATAGGTTAAGAGGTTGATTTTCCATGGCTACGAAAGGATGTGAACCAGTGAGTGAAAGATGACTCTGTGAACAAAACAAAGAAGGCTCAAGACTGATTGGGAACAATAGACGATCTTTGGCTTGCTTTTAGTCATTGATCTGTGGTCAGACTTTGAGTGGTGGCTTGATTTAAAGTTGTGCCAGCTGTCATCAGTAAGGGAGAAACACTCTCTTGGGGGCAGACGTTTCGATTTTGAAGTCGAAATACCATGATTGGTGATGTTAAAGTAAATTCTGCAGATGTGCTGAAGACAGAAGCATTTTATTTAACTTGCCAGTACTTTGTGTACCAAAAAACAAGGCTGACGTCTAACCTGGGGTCTACCCCTACTCCCCTAGGTACTGTTCCTATAGAGTGCTCCAGGAATTATGTTTTTCTGTAGGACGATGCGGAAGTTAGCTTTGCCCTGGTTCCCTCTTCAAAAAGCTAATGGGGTTTTTTCATTGGATCTCACTAATGACGAAAACTCTGTCTGTGTGTCTGTTCCATGTTTCTCTCCTCACTGACTTGGTCAATCCATGTGAAATGTGGCACAGTGGCAGAGGGTCGTGGGAGGATGCGAATGAAGCAATATTACATCAATTGGCCAAAGGGGGGCGCTATAGCAACCCACTGAAATTGCAAACTTTGAATGGGCATATCTCATGCCCCGTATGTCATAGAGACATGAAACTTTGCACAGAGATGCCTCTCCTCACGAGGAACAAATTTGCCTCAAGAACCCATAACTTCCGGTTATATAGATTTTCCGCCATTTTGAATTTTTTGAAAAATACTTAAAAACGATCTGTTCCTAGGAAGTTTGAGCGATCTGCATGAAACTGGGTGAACATAATCTAGGGACCAATATCTAAAGTTCCCTCTTGGCAAAAGTTGGAAAACTTACTAAAACTGAGCTTCTATAAGGCAATGAATATTGCGGAGGGCGTGGCTCATCACATAAAGGTGTATAACATCTCAAGGGTTTCACCCATCACCACGCAACTTTGTAGGCATATGACCACACATAATCTGAGGGGACCCCTCCATTATTGACCCCATCAAACAAAATGGGGGCGCTAGAGAGCTCATTTCTTATCTAGGCCCATATGGATTTTTACTAAACTTGGTAGATATGTAGAACAGGACGCCTCAAGGTGACTGGAGAAATTTAACTCTAATTGGCAACTGGGTGGCGCTATAACAACAGAAAAATTCTTAAAAATGGCTAAAATGCGACCGACCGCTGTGGCTGCAATTGTACTATCAAATTCACAAAAGCTCTGTCTGAATACATTGCTCTTCTTAATGGGTTCAGTTGACTATTTAATCTGCAATTTCCTATGACCTGTATCCCAAACACACACCATGTGAAACTGCACGTGGGCATCTGTGCACTCAGTGGATATGGACTAGTTTTAGATTATTGCAGAAATAAGCTCTGTGGTAAACAAATGTTTATGATACTTGCATGTTTTGTTCAGCATGACAATCTTAACAGATGATCACCACATTCATGATATTTAAAGCCTAAATGCATTCACCAGAAGTAAAAAGCTAACCTTCAGCTATAAACAAACTACATCTCCATTGTATGACTCAAAGTTGCCACCAGAATGAGGCTGTGAAGTCTTGTTTGCTGTGGCTCTGCATCATGACGTTCTGTAGTCACATTTAGCTACTTGTAGCAACCACCTTTTTTAAGACACATTGAAGCTTCAAAGTTCACGAGCGGCGTATTTACTGATGTATTTTATTTCATAGAACAAAACGTGAAAGTCTCTTCAGCTTGTGTTAATCACAGACTTCATTTCAGGCATCAAAACAAAAATCCATTAAAAAAAAAAACACTGATTTTGAGACGAGGGAACTGTGAGTGGTAAAATGCTAGCTCATTTCCAGGTTCTAAGACTCATTCCTGGGGCACTACATAGGGCTAGGGTTATGAGTGTAACCTAATTAGCTAATAACATGTGCCTTTGCCTTTGTAATGCTCAGTCACTACATTAGGCAGCTAACTAGTCAGCAGGACATGCTGATTAAAGCTGATGTTAGAGCAGATCAACAGCTGTATTCCATTCCTTTCACTTTTGCACTTGGGGTCTTGGTTTTGGTTGAAGCTAATGGTCAGAAGGAAATGAGCATCTACTGCTGGCTTACTTAGCACCATTGAGCTAGCTAATGTTACAACTCAGCCGAGAAAGACGGCTTGTGCTGTCACAAGCAAGTGCCTCTCATCCACGACTAGGTGCACACTTCCTTCTGTGCTGTGATACGGTTCATGGGTGTAGTTCAGTAGAAAGAAAATAGTTCCTACATGAAACTGCTCACAACAAGGTCTGTGGATTATCTTGAGAAACCAGGTCATGATTTCTGGAAAGAGACATTGATGTTGAGTTTTTCAAATGTATTTTTTTGGCGCTTTGAGCACCACAAGCTGAGTGCCATCTAGTTCTGTTATATTGGAGAGAAGGCAGACATCTCTATTGCTGATATCTTTAGCACTCGGCAACTCACACGAAAACAATCTAGACTGAAAAACAGCACCACAGAAAAGAGTAAAAATATGTATGATTTATTTTTAGGTTGAACTCTCCCTTTAAGGATTTTTATCGTATGATTTCTTGTTAAATGCCTCCATATGTTTTTGAAAGTTTGAAACCATGTTGGAAATTACTCACTTTGAAATGTTATCCCTTGGATTTAATGTGTTTTGTAAATGCCTAAATAAGTAAAATGAATAATCTGAAGATAGAAAATCCTCATGAATATCCGGTTCGAGCTAATGCCCCTTTGCCTGCACTGTGATGATCTATTCATAGGCGACTACAGATGACCCACCGAAGATAGTCGGCCAATCCATTAACAGCAGCCCTCCAGATTCCACAGGAGGAAGTAAGGTGTGACTGTTAATCATTAAGCCCACATTTATACTCCTCTCACATCCTGTTATCTAATTTATATTGTAGAAAACATCAGTTTATCTTGCAAGGGGAGGTTTTTTTACTCATTGCAGTTAATTATGTGGAGATTAATTGCCCGATTATCTGTCATTTCCATAAGCGATGTCATATTAGAGTCACAATCTTTACTCTTGGCCCGCTGCCCAATTTGCCTCTGCAGAGGTCACATGGGGATGCGGCAGAGTCTTTCATGGGTGAAAAAGTGCTCTGAGCTCCAGAGGTACTCAGAAGACTAAAAGATAATGGCTGCTTGTCCTTTTGTTTTTATGTCTTTGTTTTTATCCACTTTCTTTTTAGAGTTTGCCAGTTTGCCGTACCCAAGCTGGAAAAAGAGCAGATATCGTTTCCCTGAGGAAGCATCTGGGCCACGCCAGGTGAGACTCACATCTGTGGGTGTTGTAGCAAATATGGAGCAAATGAATCCCTTCTGTTGATATGAATATGTGGTGTCTAGCTGCTTTTCCTCCTGAAACAGATGAGGGCTGCAATAGCTGCAGCTATTTATGGAAAAAGTCACATTTAACAATAACATTGCTCATGAAAAAAGAAGGGAAATATGCAACAGTTTGCTCACTGCAGGTATGCTCAGCTTTCAGTGCGTCTGTGTCCTGCAGGCAGTGGAGTCCTGGCACTGAAAAAGCTGTGGCATTTGGTCCAGCGTGTGTGTTGTGAGTGTGTGTGCAACCCCATAACCCCACCACAGGGTGTAGAGACAACATCCTCTGGGGGCAGCCAAGGGTACTTCCAACCGGCTGACATTTCTGACAGCCTCTGATAGAGCCCAGAGTGCTGAATTATTCATACAGGTGTTATGGGGTTGCCATTTTCACAGGAGATACTAACCCCCAGATGAATTGTGGCTGTTTATCCCTGCAAGTGAATACAGTAGTAATGATTTGGGGCTGTGATGCCTTTTAGGCCAAATGGCAGCCCATTGTCTGTCAGCTCACATGTTGAAAGCTCATACATCTCACTGCTTCTCTGGCCACAGCAGACCTCTTAGACTTAATCAGCCGGGTTTTGTTTTTCAGCTCGGGCAGTTGGGTGGAAACATTTGATACACAGTGGTCTGTTTTTCAGCAATTCTGCATTTCATAATGGGTATCGTGATGCAGTGGTTCTCAACCAGGGGTCCGGAGAGCACCTTGAGGGAGCTCAAGGGGGTCTGCAGAAAATTAATTAATTAATTAATTCACTACAAAATTAAGTTTCAATTCCTCCATGTTATCTTCTGAACTGTAGTTGACAACCGCAGGTCTTAATCATATCTAACAGCCAATGTCTTTGAGGATGGAGGCCCCTGAAGTGAAATCTGATCCCACTGGGAGCTGTGATCTAATGGGTAAAATTTAGGTGTCCCTCAGGAGTGCCCACGAGCTCACCTGGTAGCACAGGTGCCTCATGTACAAAGGTGACGTTTTTGCTGAGAGGTTGTGGGTTTGATTCCATCCCATGTCAACCTCTCTTTCTCTGTTAAGCTTGCCTGTCCAATAAAGTGCAAATGCCAAAAAAACAGATTGAGAACCACTGTCTTAAATGAACCACCTGATTATCACTGTTATCTCTTCTCACCACAGTAATAACACTAAAGGGTCAGTTCACCCAAATCACAGGTAGCTTGTTATGTCATTTATTTCCAGCCATGCTGATAACTTAAGTTTTATTTGCAGATGACATTTGACCTTCTACCCCACTACAATGGAAGTGAATGGAATGTAATTTAACTTGCTCCCTGGCAGACAAAATGAAGATTGGAAAATTAAAAACAGCAGTGTGTTTTTCCTTGTTACTCCAGATAATGTACAGCCGTCTCATTTATAAACATTGTGTACTCACGAAACGAGGCCTGAAAGCGGCGTACGCCACTTCCCATGCAAAAGTTGTGATCTATAAAAACAGACTTGATGAGACGCCTGATCACTTTGATTAAAGGTGTAGTTCCACCTGTTGGGATTTGGCCTTTTCTTTTTCCTTGCTGAGAGTGAGACGAGAAGATTGTAGAGTGTGAAGGTAGAGCCAGTGGGTGATTAGCCTAGCTAAGCAAAAAGAAAGGAAGCAGCCAAGAAATAGTCACTTTCCTCTATTAACATTATCAAAGGTGTGCTGCTGGGTCTAAAATCAGTTTCGTTTAACATTCTTTTCTGTAGGGCTGTACCTGACTCAGAGTTATGTTTTGTTGTTGAATCAGATTTTGCTGTTCAATGCGAATATATTATATATAAGAACAGTTTGAGCGGGACGTTCGATGTGACAGTGACATTCATGTAATATAGACTACTTAACAAGCTAACTATGCTAATGATGGACTGGAAATGTGGAACAATATTTTTCGCCAACACTAGATATGAAACAAAAGCCACAGATTGTATCGCATTAAGTTGCTGTTAGCTGTAAATTCACCACTTCTAAGCAGAAGGCAGAAGTTAAAGTTAACTCTGAGGCTTACAGTGCAAATCTTCTCCTCTAGTAATGTGCAGGACATTGTTTTTTAAAATCCGCAGCAGCCCGTTATGTGAGCCAATCCACCCTGCCTGACTTGTAAACAAACGTCTTAGTCAGTGACCCAAACCTGACCTGCAAACTGTTGCTTACATTTTCCGGTAATGACCATCACCAACAACAACCTACTTGCTGCTGGCTATATTGTTTGTCATTTTTAGCAAATATCTCAATATAAAATATGTTTTCTGTTTTAATATGAACAAATGTTGGAAGACAGCAGGTACTCATCCATCTTTTACATGGTTAAATCTTAAGTATGATCTTAAACAGATTCAGGAAGGACAGAGAGGCAGTTGCTTGCTATTAGGACATAGTGTTAGGTCTGCATGTTTGCAGTGGGGAATATTTTTATGACCAAAAAATGTAAATAGCTGCTTGCTGTGTGAGAAAGACAAAGCGAAGGGAAGAGAAAGTGTCAGTTGAATTTATGTAAGTTATCAATAACTTCATCAAAATGCTACTTTTTGACTTTATCACCTGCCCGCCAAACCTGAGATATTGTCTAACAAGCTTTCCCGAATCTCTGGGCGGGCTGTGGGTCAACCTGCACAATACTACTCTCCTGCTCCTGCAGCTGCCTCTGTGTCTGCAGCTGCCTGTAGAGAAGTGCGTAGTGAAAGCGAGGAGCGCTCACTCTGCAGCTAAATTTCAGGTCCAAAATGTCCCCAGAAGTACACTGCATACTGACTGACCCAAAAACCCAAACCCAAAGACTCTCAGTTGACTGAGGGGTCGCCAACCAAATCTTAAATCTCCTACTTTCAGGAGGCAGCCCGACTTGTTTGTTTGACATGTGTTGATCATAAAGTTATATATCAAGACTGCACATCTATATTAGTTCCCAAGCTATATAACTTTGAAAATCTAATACTTGCATAACCATGACATTAAACTAATTGCAAACAAAGTTTTGAAAACTGGATGATTCAAACACAACTTTTCCCTTTTTCTCCTCTCTGAGAGCTGCTGAGTGCAATAACACTTTAAGACATCCAGATATAGAAAGTAATATATCCCTTGTCAAGATCTTCATTAATTCAATATATGTCAACAGGAGAATGAAAGAGTGGTGTGGGAGGGAAAAAAAATCATTGGAGCTCTGTGATTAAAGATGGAATTCAGAGAAAAGATCACAATTCTCAGATAAAAGCAAAAAAATAAATCATAAAAATGGGACGACAATATTACATAGTGTCAAATAATGTATTTCAAATGGCCCTAATCCTCCTCTGTAGGACGGGGATTTGTCACATAATTTAGGTAATCCCCAAAACCTAGACAGAGCTGTAATAATTGTCTCCATTTAAAGATGAGGTGGAAATTAGGACACACATTTAAAGATTATCACTTGAATTTGATAGGTTCCTGCATCACAACTGTAATGTTATTTACATCATGTGTACATAGCCATTTTGGATCTTACCAAATCTTCATTCACCATAAGCATGCAGTCACTGTTGTCTGTCTCAATATGGAGGTAAACTGTGATGCTCCATGAAATTGTGTGGTGTGCAGATACCATGAGAGTCCAGTCTGGTTTTGTATTTCTTGCTGTTTTTTTTCCCCGTTTTGTCTCAGTAGACACCACAAAGCCTAATCAGCGTTTTGGCTCTTACCCTCGCCTGTGGCGCTCTGTCATTTATGACTGCGCCAGCTTGTGTTGTCGTGGTCTGCCATTTGTCTCTGGCGATGTTGACATGAAACATCCCACGCTGTCTTGTCAACACTACCACGAGTCCTGTTTCTCGTCACGTCGTAGCTGACGGATAATACCTCCCGAGTAGCATTCTTCTGCTAGACTTGTTATTGGGATTTAATTATCAAATGTCTTCGAACTTGTTGACATCATATGGGAGTCAGTGGAACTTGAAAAACTCACAAATGGGAATTTATCATGATGTGAGAGTGGAGCCGGTGAGTGGAGACACAACATCTTAGTTGGTCTAATCACTAAAGATTCCTCACCTACCACAAACCCTATCTCTTTTGTTGCCTGGCAACAAGCTGCCACCCAAGGGCTCCCATGATCTGATCTGTTAAAAACTGTCCCCCACCACCTCCACCCTCCCCCAGAGCACAAATGTCTAAATTTTTTACATTGCAATCAATATTTAACCACCGATCAAGCCTCCCATCCAAGCATTGTCATGTTTAATGAGCTTTTCAAGTCCGGCTCTGATTTGTGGTCATGATTCACTCTCACAAAGAAGAATAACTTGTTATTGACTGGAAGGACAGGCGGGTGGTGATGAGAAAAGGCATAATGGGGTTTCACTTCAGAGCTTCTTGGCTTTCAAACACAAAAGTTTCATTGTGTGTTTACGTATTGACGATGCATTGCTTCTTCTCAATGCCTTTTATTTTCTTGTCACACCAAATGCTCCAGCCTGTCATTGACTTTGCAGCTTTCTTCTGTCTGCTTCTGTCTCCCTCTCCCTCTCCCCCCCTCCCTCCCTCTTCAGCGTATTATTGTTCAGCTTTCATGTTACATTCAGACACGACCGGTGCTGTTGTCACAAACATTTGTGCATGTGGTGCATCAAACACAAGCAGAGAGACACCCACTTGCCTACACGTTAGAAGATATTAATCAATTTGAGAGGAAAAAAAAAAAACATTAGCTGAACTTAAGTGAAAGAGTCACTTTAGCACAAAGAGCTAACAAAATTAGTCACGTCTGAGGCAAGGTCACTGAGCCACCTCCCACACTCTTGGCAGCCGGCAGCTACTCCAGGGAAAAACTTTTTGCACATTTGAAGCTACGAGTCATTAGCGATGCTGATAGAAACACACTTTAATTAAGACTGCTGCATTTTGGACTTAGATGTCACATCTGAAGATTAATAAGTAATATCAGGGGTGTGGTGGTATGCAAATAGAACAGACATGCCTCCGAGCTCAACTGGTGCACTCGGTGTATCACTGAATAGAGCCAAATTAGCATGCTGGAACACAAGTGCTCTGTGCCCCCCTCCTAGGCTGAAGTGCTTGGCTCTACTTGTGGGCGAAATATTACCAGCCAGCTGCTCACTAGATAACAAATAAGAACCGGAGCAGCAGAGGGTTGGAACATATGCAGGCGTTTGTGCCTTTGCTTGTGTGGTTTCACCCTTGCAAACAAAACTAGCTCGTCTGTAAAGGAAAGGTCACGAGAATATTGTAAGGTCACTGCGGCTCTGACCCTCGCTCGTCTTCATGTTGATCAGGAAATTGAAGCTGCATCTTATTATATTTATTTATTTTGTGCACAACTGTGTTAGCTGAATGAAGTTGAACAAACCTAATGAATACTTTTTCGTCCTCCATAATACATTTGCAAACTTTAAATATTTTTTTCAAGCTTGCCCTGGCTCATAGAGCATGAGCACTAGAGTCCTTCCCTGGTTAAACCAGCTGATCGCACATTGCACATGCACATCAATGTTTCTCCTGCTCTGCCCACAGACCTTACATGACAAAAAATTCTGCTCTAGGCTTATCTAGGCTTATACAAAGTAGTCCATACCCATTGGTAGATTTGTCACCTTCTACCTATGCCAATCCTCAATGCCTATGTGCAGTTTCACATAAATTGACCACATCAGTGAGTAGAAAAACATGGGACAGACAGAATGACTGACTGACAGAATGACACACTGACAGTTTCCACGATTATGTACAGCATACCATACCATGACTTAGTCAATTAGAAAAAAACAACAACATTGGTCCACAGGGGGAGCCACAGCGATCGGTCGCATTTTAGCCATTTTTAAGCATTTTTCTGTTGTTATAGCGCCACCCAGTTGCCAATTAGAGTTAAATTTCTCCAGTCACCTTGAGGCGTCCTGTCCTACATATCTACCAAGTTTAGTAAAAATCCATATGGCGGTTAGGCCTAGATAAGAAATTAGCTCTCTAGCGCCCCCATTTTGTTTGATGGGGTCAATAATGGAGGGGTCCCCTCAGATTATGTGTGGTCATATGCCTACAAAGTTGCGTGGTTATGGGTGAAACCCTTGAGATGTTATACACCTTTATGTGATGAGCCACGCCCTCCGCAATATTCATTGCCTTATAGAAGCTCAGTTTTAGTAAGTTTTCCAACTTTTGCCAAGAGGGAACTTTAGATATTGGTCCCTAGATTATGTTCACTGAGTTTCATGCAGATCAGTCAAACTTCCTAGGAAGAGATCGATTTTAAGTGTTTTTCAAAACAATTCAAAATGGCGGAAAATCTGTATCACCGGAAGTTATGGGTTCTTGAGGCAAATGTGTTCCTCATGAGGAGAGGCATCTCTGTGCAAAGTTTCATGTCTACGACATATGGGGCATGAGATATGCCCATTCAAAGTTTGCAATTTCAGTGGGTTGCTATAGCGCCCCCCTTTGGCCAATTGATGTAATATTGCTTCATTGGCATCCTCCCATGACCCTCTACCACTGTGCCAAATTTCACATGGATTGACCAAGTCAGTGAGAGAAAAACGTGGAACAGACACACAGACACACCCACAGACAGAGTTTTCTTCATTATATAGTAAGATGTAAAACCTTTATTGGGTAGAAAACCATAATACAAAGAATAATAATTGACTTATTTGCAGCAAGAAATGTCATGTCAAAAATTTCACATACCCCATTTCCACCCAAATCAGTCCATTTATGTGAGCGTTTTTTTTTTGTTTGTTTTGTTTTTTTACAATGTGTGATGTTCAGTGTCACGGATGGGCCTGGTTCATAAACAGTAGAAAGCAGCATGGAGGTCTGTGGAAAACTGACAGTCCTTACTTCTATATTTCTTACTTATTCAGTCTCTCTTTCAAATTCAGTGCACATAAATTTGGAACTATGTTTGAGTGCTGCTTAGGTGGAGATGGGCAAATTTTGTGGTGGCAAACATGGACATGTGGCATGTCATTGTATCTCATTGGTAAAGCGGCAAAACTGATTGTATAGATGAATAGATTTCTGTCAGAAAGAGCACAAGGACAACTTCTCCCATGTGTGGATCTGGCTCAGACTCACAAATTCACATTAATTATATATAATTACAAGCCTTAATAAAATGTAAATAGGTGAGTTCTATTAAAACTCAGCCCCCCACAGCTGTCATGAATGTTGAAATTAGCCATAGAGACCCAAATTGACTTTTGTACGACACTGTAAACATGTTTATTTCTGCTATTATTGGGCATTTTACCATGGGGGTCTATGGGGATAGACTTTTGGAGTCAGCCTCAAGTGGCCATTTGAAAGAACTGCAGTTGTTGGCACTTCTGCATTGGCTTCATTTTTCAGCCCTCAAGGATGCAGTCTGATTTTTGCTTGCTAGCTTTCTTTTTTTGTCTGGCGTGTGCTAGTCACAACAAAAACTGACTAATTCTGAACAGAAGAAGCTTTTAAACTCTTCAGTGTACTTTTAAATAACTCATTTTCACAAACGCTTATCCTCTCAGGGTTTGCGGGGGGGCTGGAGCCTGTCCCAGCTGACACTGGACGAGAGGCAGGGTACAGCCTAGTCACTAGACTATGACAGGGCTGACACAAACGCCTTTTTTAGATAGGAATTGTGCAAATTTGCAGGAAAGCCCAATCAGTCTTTTTTCAGCATTGGCAGTATAAAAACAAAATCAGGGAGGGCGGAAAATTGCAGCCTGCCTACTTTTGTTTATACAGAATGCATCTTTTTTTGGGGCAATGGGGGGCGTGAGCAAGTAAAACACGTAGCTCAGCGTGTGACGTAAACAGTGACGTACTCCAAGGGAAGCCGTAGCTAGTCAGGCGGCGATTCTTTCGTAAATCGGCTTGTTCTTCACCGTCCCTGTCATCTGACGGTTAATGGCCTCTTCGTTTGCGAGGGCAAGGAGAGTGCGCAATTCCTTGTTTCCCCAGTTGCTCATCTTTACAGTGTCTGTCAGGTTTGCGTTTCCCTCTAGCTACTAGCTGCTCGCTAATTCCTGCTATCAGCTGTTTCCTTTTTATCCACTGCCAGTGGGTTGCACGTCATCAACAGCTCCTCCCACAAGTCTTCAACAGTCCCTCCCGTTGCGGAAGGCCGCCTTGGTCTTTTTAAACTAAAAGGGTTCCACCAATATGACTACCCTACGAGGTGGAAAATTGGGCACCTCGGATCAACTCGCCTTTCCGACTCTGTGTGTCTAAACGCTCGCAGCTTGCCAGCAAAACGGCCCAACATTCGAGGAAAATCTGGCAGTGTAAAAGGGGCTATAGAGACAGACAACCATTCACACTCTCATTCACACATACGGACAATTTAGAGTCGCCAATTAACCTGCATGTCTTTGGACTGTGGGAGGAAGCCAGAGTACCCACACTGACATGGGGACAACCCTCCACCCCGAGGTCGAATCAGTAACCCTCTTGCTGTGAGGTGATAATGCTAACCACTGCACCACTGTGCCGCCCACCTTTAAATAACTGAGTTTTCTAATTACAGCCAGTTTGAAATCTTTTATTTGTATGGCAGAATATTTGAAAAGAAAACATTATGTTCACATCATCTTGATATAATTCCACTGAGAGTATATTATTCTCAATACAGTTCCACTGAGAGTATATAAACAATAATATTGCATTATTGCATTATTCTCTAGATATTGCCTTTGTGATTTGACATATTTGACTGCTTATCTCAGAGTCACAGTCATATTGGAATTCCGAATGACTGCTGAGCCTCCTCCAACATCAACAGCATCCATCTAAGCTGAACCACGGCCTTTATTTCATTTGAAAGCACATACAACCCTGTAATATTCCAACAACAAAGGATCACACACCACCTTGACTCTCCATACCAGCTCACAATAAGTGCGTCGTATAGCAGCGTACACCTTGACCTGCTTCTCTCTGCCTCCTTCACTCACAAGAAGGCAAACTACTCATGTAAAAATGATTAAGAAACATCGAGGTGTGTTACCTCGGCTGGTCTACTGGCAAAGTCACCTCGACAGTTGCTTCTAAGCAGCGTCTTTTAATTTTCCACTGCAGCATTAATGCAAAGGTAATTACGCGTGCAGTATGAGAAAAACAAGCAAACAGTATTTGAGGAAAGGTTATGGTTGGAAGCTAAACCGCCATAATTAAGTCATTAATCTGGCCAGACGTAACACGTTTCTCCCATAATGCTCTAGTTTGGTGTCATTTGTGCTCGCCTGCTGCTTTGCTGTGCTCTGATTTGGATGATTTACAGTGCGCTTGTGTGTGTGTGTGTGTGTGTGTGTATGTGCGCATGCATGGATGTGAGGGATTATTGTGATGACACGCGTGCACTTTTGACCGTAGCTCATCGGCTTTGATGTTTTTTGTATGTCTGACAAAGACAGGAGATTAATGTGTAGGCTTGGCGTTTGTGGTTTCTGTGCATTTGTTTTAAATTTTTTCCTGTCATTTAGGTTGCTGGAAAGTGAACATATATCATCATTAGAACTCGCTGGTGACACTCTGTATTTATGACTCCTGCTTGTGTGTCTCTGCTTTGTAGGCGTTTGGCATCAGCAATTAAGCAGGGCCAGAGCTACTTCCACCTCCTACAGAAAGAGGAACAGGAGGAGCGGGAGGAGGAGGAGAGGCAGCGGATGAGGAGGGAGGAGCGGCTGAGAACAGAGCCACGACCTCCCAGTTTCTCCTCTGACTCCGACAGCGATTCAGAAGGGTGTGGCAACATCTCACATCAGCTCACTTTCACTTCTTCCTGCAGTGTTTCTCTTTGGCCTAGTTTATTAGTTCATCATCTTTTCGACTACCTGAAGCTGCACTAACCGATAATTTTGTATTCACAGTGTATCAAATGACTTAAAAGAATTGCACATAATGACAAACACAGAAGATTATCACCCTACGCTGCTGCTCCCCTCAGCTCTTCAGAGCATTTTGGTTTTACAACCTGAAACTTTACTATCATGGTTCACCCTCACAGCTCCCATCAGCCCTTTTTCCAGCAGCAGATAGCAGCTGTTTTTTCAGCAAAAAGGCTCTGATACACACAGTGTATGCTACCTGCTAAGCTCCAAATGGCAGACAGACAAAGTCAGCGACCCACTGGTGAAGATCATAGACTGTATATAAAGATGGACAAAATGACAGTGAAGCCAGAAATGTCAATCACCCCCTGGTGGCTGGCTGCAGTACAGGTCATAAAGCCCGCCCTCTCAATGTTAGCGGATGGGACGTGAGCCAAACCAAAAACTCAAAGTGCACAGAAAATAAAGAGTTTCTGTTATTTTAGGTAGATTTTAAAATGCTGGTGTATGTTCAAGTCTTCATTTCTCTGACACTTTAGTCAAAGAAAACTTTATTTCCATTTGCAATATTATATTTGGTGGTATGGTTCTGTTCTGGGGCCTCTCTGCCTTTCTCAGGCCTACGCAGAAAGCCTCTTCCCCGTGCTTACATGAAAAGCCTTCAACCTGTCTCCTATGAGATCACTGCTTGTTCTCGCGATATTTCGGCCGCGCTTTGGAGAGCAGAGCTAAATGGTAAACAAACATGGCAGCACACCGGTAAGGTAAGACAACACGTTTACATGTAGTTTTCTATATGTTCTCTGACATTTATCCTAACGATATGAGGCGGTCTTTGTGGGAAAAAAAGCTTGTTTAGTGGACTAACTTTGCACTTGAAGGTTGCCCTTTCACTTACGTTTTAACAGGTCTGACGCTACTATGCGCCGCGGCTGTATCTAGGCTAACGGCTAACATGCTAACTATTATTTTTATGTCACTAGTCACTTGAAACAAATTTAGGACGATAGGAGACAGGTTGAAATAAACTGAAATTTCCCTTTAAGGCAGAGAAAGCACACCTCTCTGCCCTTCCACAAGCAAACAAGGAAAGCCTGAGGCAGAGAGTGCAAACCCCCCCCTGCCCTTCCATGCGCCTACATGGAAAGCCTAAGGCAGGGAGAGCAGCAGCAAAGACCCCCGGGAACAGAATGACAGAAATGACATTGATAAGTCAGACACAGCATGAAAAGGAGGAGCTGGGGTGGAGGCAGGTTGCAAAGTGGCTTGCAGAGGAAGCAGCAACAGTAGGCAGACCAGAGCAGTTTAAATAGGGCACCCTGAATGAGATTTGTCAATTAGTTGCATAGAAAGGAATCATCTGATCTATCAGCTGACTCCCTTCCATCAATCAGCTGCTCCATCAGTTGATTGGGCTGTTTGAGATCGGCTGATGTAGCTGGGATGTGAGCTGAGCTTGACATTGTGTCCGGCCTGAACTAACACTACGTTCAATTCATTTCATGCCATAAAACGGGGATTTGATGTCATGATTGATAGCTGTGTGTGCCAGTTGGTGTGCTCACGATCAGTATTGCTGCTCAGGATTTGTTTGGTGGGTGTATGGGTGGGAAATTGATACCAGGGGAGATCACTTGGAGACCAAAACAAAGCTAAAAGAGGGTGAATCATGTTCATCAGGTGGCCAGAGACACAACTCTAACTCTAAATTAATACTAATTAATACTAACTCGCCTCCACCCCAGCTCCTCCTTTTCATGCTGTCTGACTTATCAGTGTCATTTCTGTTTGTCATTGATGCTGCTCTGTTCTGTTACCTTACCTTTGCTCCTGCTCTCCCTGCCTTAGGCTTTTCATGAAGGCGCATGGAAGGGCAGGGAGGTTTGCTCTCTCTGCCTTAGGCTGTCTGCGTAGGCCTAGGAAAGGCAGAGAGGCCCCAGAACAGAGCCATACTGCCAAATGTAATACTGCAAATGGAAATAAAGTTTACTTTGACTAAAGTGGTCCCGACTGAACTGTAGTTGCTGTTTTTTACTTAGACATAAAACATGGTAAAAATACGCTCCAGGTTGAAATATATCAAAAATATTTGCAGCTTAGTTCACATTTAAGCCATCAGTATTTACATCAGCTTTCAAAACATCCATATATTTAACTCTAGTCTAATATTGAACTTGAATAATCGCTAATCATATGATCACATCATCCATATGCTCCCATGTTATTTAAAGCTAACACCACTGTATCTCTGCTGAGTTCAGGTGGCGTCTGCCTGCAGGACCCAGCTGGTTAGGTGCGAATGAAGTGTGGCCGCGCAGGAAGAAGAACAAGTCAGCACGACCTTTCACCCCCGTCCATCACTCTCTGACCTCCCCTCTGCTGAGTGAAGCACCAAGGTAAAGATGTCATATACCGTGCAGCCTGTTCCCTTCCATAATATTCAAGACGGTGGCCTTTAAACGAGCCGTAAATATGTTCAGGTGTTTTATGGTACTCAAGGTTAGAAGCTGTCTAAGAACTGGGTTCTGTGTTTTGCAAAACCCACTCGGCAGCCTCTACTCGCGCAGCTTGACAGCAGCAGCACATTCTTTACTTCCAGTGGAAAAAACATGAGAAATGCAGCTTCTTTGCTTTGTCCTTCAGCCTGTCACTTTCAGTAAATAACCTTCAGATATACAGAGCTCATACAATAATATGCTATACTTCACCACATGCAGTTTGTAGGTAGGACTGCTGTAGTGTAGACGTAGCTGGAGATTGCTGTGTTTCCTCTGCATATAACTTCACGCAGGGAGGTTTTCAAGGTAGCTAGATAAGAAATGTCAAAGTTTTGACCTTCAAAATGAATTGTTTGTGCAATCAGAACATTAAAATAAAGACAAATGTAAACATTCAAGAAGATCAGTTAGTACCTTTTATTTCAGGCATTTGTAGTCGTTAGGTATAACTTGTGAATATTTGCTCCAATCATCATGATCAAAGCAGTCGCTCCTTGTTTTAATAAGGGCATAGGTTTTGATGTATTTTTCAAGAATCACCACACCCTGCACAGAAGTAAAGAAAGAGGGTGAGATGTTTGAAAAAGAATTTGATTATAAGGAATAACTGCGCTTCTTCCACCCTTTTTCGGTCTGTCAGTGTTCATCCGTTTGATTCGTGTCAAGCAGATGTGTTACTACACCTCAGCAAACATCAAACAAAGAAAAACAAACAGGCAGATTGCTGAATATTTAATGCAAAACATCTGACATTGACAGATATTCGCGAAGCTTTCATTTTGTATTTCTTTCATACGGCAGACTCCTTTGATGCCGCGTGAACCGGAGCTAACCTTTTCTGAAAAATGCGTCAGAAAAAGTTTTCTCTGACAAATCTGCCTTGTTAGAAACTCGGGTGTTGGCTGACAATAAACACATACAGAGCTCTGGTTCACAACAGCAACATTTAGTGGTTTCTGCTCTGAGAGTGTTATGCACGGCTTTGATCTCGTATTGATGGCAATGCTGCCTGCAATCCGCCAGTACTGGCTTTTGAACACAAGTGAAATACGGAATTTATCACACATTATGTTGTGACAAGTGTAATGTGTTTGAAAAGGATTAAATGGCAAAGCAGGAACATTTAAGCTTTAAAACTAGCAAATACTTGTTGTATTAGTAGTTTCTTAAAGGGCCAAGATATGTTTTGCACCTCTGCTACTCAAACAATGACATTACCCATCTTCACGTACACAGGAATCCTCTGTGTTTTACATGTTGCTCCACGGGGACAAATCTACAGCCTGTGTTTATGATACTTCACCTCCAACTCCACATGCATTTCCTCTGACACTGCATTGTTGCCACTGCCAGAATACAGCCTTGTTTTCTGGCGAGACCTCTGGAAAATAACAACCCTGTTTGAAGGCTGTTACCTGACATCTGACAGATCCTAATCTAGCAGACTATCTGCCTGGCAGACGAATGGCCTGGTCGATAATGAAAAGAGCTCGGAGCGACCCGGGACGGCAGCATTTGTGCGCGGGGAAGAGGGAGCGAGGCAGAACAGGAGGCAGAATTCATATTGTGTTTGATGTGTTTGGAGAGATCATGGGAATGGATGTGGTCATAAAGCCTTGAAGCGTGAAAGTGTCGGGGTGACGGACGGCACCGCTTGACTGCAGGTGACACTGTAACCACGCTTTTAGAGGGATGGCATGTTTTGCATTTGTTCCCACTACAGCAGCTCTTGTGTTGAAGAGTTGGGCCTCTTGTGTCAATGTTTTCATCCACTTATTTTACCCACAGTCGGAGACTTGACTGGAAATGAAGGGTGTAGAGTATGATTGGTTTTGTAGTGGCTATTTTTTGCCATTGGAGGGGGCACTACACCATTGCCTAATGTAGTGCCATTTACCTTTTGATGTGGAGAAACTTCACCCGAATCACAACACATTAACTTTGTCTTGGTGGCATTGATGCAGAGCACTTCAGAAGGCTTCTCATACGATGTAAAAGCTCCGTGTGACTTTATTAAATCAGGTAGTTTTATTCAGTCTGTTTCTCAAGAGCCAAAGAGAAAATAAGAAAAAGGTCTTACAGTCAGACATAACACACATGCAGCACAGTGGTGCAGAAGTTAGCATTGACATAGCAAGAGTTCTTGGTTCCAACACAGTGTGGAGGGTTTGAATCCCAGAGTGGGGGAGCCCCTCTGTGCGGAGTTTGCATGTTCTCCCCGTGTCAGTGTGGGTTTCCTCCAGGTACTCCAGCTTCCTCCCACAGTCCAAAGACATGCAGGTTAATTGTTGACTCTAAATTGTCCGTAGGTGTGAATGTGAGTGTGAATGGTTGTCTGTCTCTATGTGTCAGCCCTGTGATAGTCTGGTGACCTGCCCAAGGTGTTTTGACCGATGGATGGATACCTGTATGGATACATTTCCTACCCTGATGAAGATAGAGGGATAGGTATCTTCATCAGTCTATCACAGATAAAAAGAGAAAAAGTAAAGAGAAATACACAGGATTGTATTTGATAAAAAGTCAAAAATACAATCCTGTGTGTTAAGACTTTTTGAGTTGAAGTTAACTACAACTCCCAGGGTGCATTTGAGCAGGAAACATCGAGCTTTGATTCAGATTTTACAATTTGCAAGTTCACTTTTAATTTGCGGGTCACTTTTGGATAAATTCAACAAAGCGCTTTGAATTCACGACCACCATGGTTTGTGCTTCCACCTGGAAAGTTGCCAAGGCTCATGGGTATTGTAGTATTCAGAGCTGTCTGCTATACCTGAAGGATGGACAAAACATGATTTCTTGGGAACAAAGTACACATAATTAAAACTCGTGGTCACCACATAAATTATGACATAGTAGATGATCCAGAACTGAAGAAGCTTCTTGAATGAGAGGCGAAACGTCTTTAAGAAACACAAGCAAGTCCAGTTGCCTTCGATATAGCACTTAAGATTACCATGACCTGGATGACTGAGAATCTTCAGCGAGATGTGGTGGATGAAAATAACATCCCCACATACTACGTATCCATCTATGTGTTGATCTTTCCATTCATGAAGCATTGGTGGTTAGATGAGGGATGTACAGATGTACGCTCTCCCCTGCACTGTCTGGCTGGCTATGATGCTTAATAATTTACATTCTGCATGTTGACCTTTGACCCTTTGAAGTCAGACAGTTCAGTGGGTGTTGTTAATGTTTAGTGAAAGTTATTCTGAGGGCGCTCTGTCTATTGGCTGACGCCTGTTGCATATTATATTCCTCTCTCTGCCCATGTTTCCTGTTTCTGTAGACTAACGACTGAATGCCAATAAAATCATTCGAATTTTTTCATCTGAACCTAAACTCTACATGTTTGTTATCCATTACGAGTTAATCTAAAGCGAGTTTAATAGATACATATTTGAAGCCAAGAAATGTTTGTTACTGAGAGGCAGATAAATGGAAGTAATACAAAAATGCAAAGATTAGCCTGGATATAAATGGGATAATAAAAATGTGTCGTTTTTATCATGGAAATGTGAGTTGGATAATTTCTCATAAGTTTTTTTGTTTGCTGTGTATGGAATTATTCTAATAAAACTCTTCTGGACAAACAAAAACAAGCCTCAGATGTTGAAGTTCACGTCTGTGTGTGCTGTTGCAGGGAGGTCATCTACCGCCAGCTATGCTGTCTGAGTTGGCTGCTGGAGGCCTTGACTCTGGATCGCTCTAGCAGAGTCGGCCCGCTCTCCGCCTGCTGGGACCCCAAGTAAGTTATTCTGGTGTCAAAGGTTTTTCCCACCCACACACAACTTACCAGTGGTCAGTTAAAGCAAGTACATGAATAAGAAGTTGCCTGTTAAAGCTGCCTAGAGCAAGATTGCTATCTAGAAATGCACCCAATCAAGACAACCTATTTAAAACTCAAGACTAATATGCTCTAAATGCACAAATAAAATATTTTGCATCAGCTTTGGTGGAAACCGTTTTCAATGCATTAGCTGTTAAACAGTTCATAGATGTCATGTTTGATGATTTCTTGGTTCAAAAGCTTAAAGGGATGGTTTGGATTCTTTGCAGTGGGATTTTATGAAGTACTTATCCATAGTCAGTGTGTTACATACAGTGGATGTTGGTCGGCACACTCCCAGTTTGGAGAAGCAGGCAAGAGTACTGCTAAGGAAGCTAAGCATGTACTGTTGTCGACGGGGCAGCAGCAAAATGCATCTTAGCCACCTAAAAAACATCAGTATCAGTTAAGTATACGCTTTATTTAGAATATTTTCATCACTTTACCTTGCTGTCAGCCATTTCTGACAGGGAACTGAGGCCATCATCTGTACTATCTTCAAAGCCAACAGACTCCTTTGATAAAAAAACCCAGTAATTTTACTTCACAAAACACAGAAGTTGCTGGTCTGTGCTGCCTCAGTGAGTTGGTTTGTTCGTGTTATTATGCGACTTTGGTGTTTGAAAGGGTTAGTTTGGATTCACTGCGGTGGCTAAAATATGTCTTGGCAGTATTCCTGCCTGCTTCTTCAAACTGGAGGCATCCCAGCTGCCATATGTAATACACTGACTATGGATACGTACTTCATACACCATTTAAAAAATCCAAACTATCCCTTTAACCCTTTGAAACCTGGAGGGACATCCCTTTTCTTGTGCTGCTTTCAGACGCCTTTCACAAGCATTTGATTTTTAACGAACCCCGGGTTTTAACAGAGACCTGTATTCTCTTACTGTCCTGCTCAAAAGATCTAAAATTAGAAACACTTTATCCATCGATGACTTTAAGGGCATCATAAAGAATGTGGTGATAGAGACATGTGCTTGTTTTTCTTAAGAGGCCACTATGTGTCAATAGTTGTTTTATTTTGGATTTTTGTGTTATATGTTGTATTTGTTGCTTTTTAAATGTGTTCTGATTGGCTGCTACCTCGGCCAGATCTCTCTTTTAAAAGAGATGGTCAGTCTCAATGGGACTTCCTGGTTAAGTAAAGGTTAAAATAAATAAATAAGTAAATAAATAAAATTAAACCTTTGAACCCTGAGCAAATTGGTGTGATGTCTTTCAAAAAATATGGGATAAAAGGCACTGAGCAATGTGGTAAGAAATGTCCCACAAATTGCAAAAAAATAAAAAAATAAATTTAGAAAATTATTTAAGATAAAAAAAACTAGGGAAAAAAAGAAAAAATATTGGGAAAACTGTGTAAAATTATTATTATTATTATTATTGCATTTTAAAAATTATGTTACAGAATTATATTTTCTAAGCACTCTATTCAGGTATTTTTTTTGTTTGTTTTCTGTTTTTTTACTAATTTTATTTTATTTTTTTTTAATTAATTTTTTATTTTAATTTTCTCTTCTTACTAATTTCTTGCTAATTTTTTGGGCCATTTCTTCTTTGATAGCTCATTGCCTTTTTCCCATGTTTTATGAATGGAATCAAGCCGATTTACTCTTTCAAAGAGTTAAGGTGCATCTGAAATTTGTTTTCCAGAATATTCTTTTTAATATGCAGTGTGTATTTGTTAAAATCTCACCTGCGTAAGTTATATTCTCATGAACTGATAATCCTTCAGTTATTTTAGAGTGAGTTCACGTCTGACAGGATAATGGTGCGTTTACTGTGAGCAATGTGACACAGACGCACACAGCGTTCGGATTATGTCACAGACTGTCTTCATACCATGAAAAAGCTCCATACATAATACATTAACTGTCATTTACTATTAAAGAGTGATTCCACCGCCTGGAGCCGCAGTCAAGAGGCTAAAACATAGCAGCATGAGCAACATATCCATCAATGATCGGCTCATTACAGCGCTGACCTCTGCACGCTGACCGATGACTAACTTCTGTCAGATCCGCACTGTTTTTAAGCGAGCCACCTGAAGAGACGTTGCACTGTACTGTAGAGAGCCAGTGATGAAGCGTCTGTGGTGATCAGGAGCTGCAGGCACGCGCTGACAGTGCTGGATGAAATATAAAGTCCAAAGCTCCGGAGGGGGTCCAGGCTTAGTGAGGAGATTGCATTCTTCCATCTTTGTCCCCCCCCTCCAGGTTTCAGCTTCTGTGATATTGACCCACCACAGGGTGTCCACAGAGAGGAAATGGAGAGAGAGTGCAGAAGCAGCAGCTGTGGGGTGCTTAAAATCGCATGTTTAACCCACAGGATTGCTGTTGCATTGCATCTGTAGTCGGCTTTAATTCTTCAAAGCCACTTCTTTCCAAGGCTCCCTCTCTGTATTTCTTTTTATTCTTTTTTTTTCTTGTCTTGATATTGATGTATGATGATCTTTATGATCTCTCTCTCCAAGTGTCAGAGGAGACCTGGACTGGGAGAATAGATTAATTCATAAAGTTTAAAGGCGACTGTACCGCGCTCAGTTGCAATGGCTCCTTGTAGGATGTAGCACAGGAATATTATTGCACACCACTGTAAGCCTTGAATAATTGATAGAAAAATGAAAAAGAAAAGGAAAGAGCGGAAGGACGGGGAGGAAAAGAGCTACAAAGAGAATTTTTTTGTACCTGAACGTCATCGTGTTACAGCCTCCGGGGCCTTCACTCAGCTTCAAATCCAATTTCCCAGAAAGTCTTAAGCTTTATGGGCCAAATGATACAGCTGAGGTATTACTGTACAGGAAGACAAGGAGAGGATGAAATGAAACATTATCACAAGGTTACGACACTGCTGGGCTCTCCACCAGGCGGGCAGCTCTGATGTCGGGCATCAATCTAAAACACTGCACAGTTTTTAGGATAAGATGAATTATGATTTTGATAATGGCCGGAGCGACTCTCTAGCTGTCTCCGCCCTGAAGGCCGGTTTCGACTAGTGGCGAGTCGCAGAAGGTCACCGGAGTGATGAATGTGTCACAACAGCGGCAATTATTTTCCATTCGCAGAGACCCTGGCCGAGGCAGGACCACGATAAAGACGCTGAAGAAAGAGAGAGCCATTGAGAGCAAATGGGAGCAGTTTGTTTCAGCCAAGGTATCCCTCCCTTATTTACTCCTTTAATTTTAAGAATTTTATTTCTTCTTATTATTGTTATGTGAATTATTTATTTTTATTTTATTTTATTGTATTTACATTATAAAGCACAAAGTGTGGCAATTTTGGTATTTATTAAGACAATAAAATAAAATAAGATAAAATAAAAATAAATGTTTTGGGCAAGCAGCAGCCTCCAAAACTGAAAAATGAAGCCAACGCAGAAGTGCTGTAAACTGCAGTTCCACTAATGGCCACTTGAGGTTGCTCTGAAAGCGAGTCAATCCCCACAGACCTCCACGTTAAGATGCCCAGCCTCACAGCAGAAACAAACATGTTTACAGCCTGGTACAAAAAACAGTTTTGGTTTCTATAGCTAATTTCAACATTCCTGACGACTGTATAGGGGGTTGGATTTTTGTATAACTCACCCGTTTTAATTCTACTCAGGCTTACAGGTGTACATAATTAAAGGCAGGGCCGCTTTGAGTGGCAGGAGTTCTGGACTCTCAGTCAGATCCACCCCTCATTCATCCCACAGCTCCACCCTCTCGTCCAAATATGGTTACCGGCTCCAAAAAACAAAATGCCAAATTTGAGGCTTCAAAATGGGTCCACAAATGAATGGTTGATGTCACAGTGGCTGCTTTCATTATTTCATACAGTCTATAACATGAGGTCTCAGACACGGTCAAGAAGTCGGAAAGTATTAAAACAACTCTTACCTTTCTTGCATTTCACACAGCACTTAGAAAAAGTCCCATCCCCCTCCTCCTGCAACTCCAACTCCCTCCCTCCTCCTCCATTATGTCCTCATTACGTCTATGATAGACGTAGGCGTTGGCATGGTAACGTTAGATACACGGAAGAGGAGAACGAGTAACGTTACAACCAAGACAGTCAAACACAACCCCGGAGTTTTAAAACTCAACCGCAGTCAGTGATGACTGATGAGTTTTAGAATAAGGTTACAGTGCTAACGTTAACGATAGTAGCCTTAACGTTACTAGTAAGTGGAAACGCACAAGAAAGATAACGTTAATGTTTCAGAGGCTATGCTACAGTAGGCTAACGTTAGCCATTGGCAACTGGATGCTGTGTTGTCATATATAACGTTATAGCCTATGTTAGAGGCAAACTAACGTCAGATACGGTTACATCAGTCAGAGGCCTCCTTGTGGGGAAGACAGACAGGACGCCAACCAACTCCAACCAATCACTGCATTCGGTCCGAATGCAGTGATTGGTTGGAGTTTTCTTAGAACCATATGAGAATGGTATAATTATGAGTTTTTATCTCTGGTGGAATTCACTTAAATTTTAGTGTGCCGTCAGCTTATTAACAGCATTTTAACCGAAACAAAGAAAAGCGTCGCTTTAATAGAGGGAGTAACATGGGTTACAGTCTTTTCATGGGATTTGCTGATAATAACAAAAACAAAAAAGTTTAAGTTCATTTGATCAAGAAAAGATACAGTGAAAATGAAATAGTTGATCAGGACCAGAATATACACTCAAAAAATAACAGAAAAATTAAAAGCATAAAAACACACCACAAATTAATAACATGGAGTATTTCCAGACTCACGCTTTAAGAATTATCTTCATGCTCCAGCATAAAATAATATTTTAAACAAAAATGTGTCTCCAACTTTGTGGCAACAGTTTGGGGAGGACCTTTTCATGTTTCTGTGCAAATAGTAAAGTTCATAAAGAAATGATTCCCAGTTTAGGGCACCCATTGGCTCACCTGGTAGAGCAAGTGCCCCATGTACAAAGGCTGCAAGCTTGATTCCAATTTATGGCCCTTTGCTGCATGTCATCCCCCTTTACTCTTCCCCTTCATGCTAAAACAACTGCCTATTAATTTAAGACAAAAAAGCCTTCAAAAATATCTTAAAAAAAGAAACAATTCTCAGTTTGGTGCGGAAGAACTTCACCGGCCTGCTCGGAGCCCCGACCTTAACCCCATCCAGTGCCTTAAAGATAAAGTGGAACATCGACTGCAAGCCTTATAGCTCAACATCATTGTCAGACTTCACTAGAGCCACTTTCCCACTGCACAAAGAACCTACCAACACAACATCTGGCTTTTCACTGCAATGGGAAATGTTTTAATTGGCATTCACACCTGAGTCAAATGACTCTGCAGTAGTCACAGGTATTTATCCCCTCCACCTCCGCTCGACACTGATGGGAGCACAATACCTGTGTGAACGTGCTAACATCTTTCAAAATAGGTCTGCACCGAGTTTGAAAGAGAAACTTAATAAGTAAGAGATGTTTAAAAAGAAGTAACCTCCATAACGTTTTTGCTGACCTGTTTTCCCGCCTGTCCATGACATCAAACATGGTCTACTGGCAATTGGAAAGAAGTCTGTAGACTATTTTTAGTGGGTTTACCTGTGTTTAAAAACCCGCATGCACATGCTAATTTTGGTAGAACATGTTTATAATGCTCTTGTGGCTAAATAGGACCAAATTCCTGCAGCCAACTTCCAAAATTTGGTCAAACGGCGTGTTATAGCAGCACATTAATACCCACGGTTACAAAATAAGATGTTCAAGAATCATGTATGGGTGTAATGTTTGTGTGTCCGAATACTTTTGGCCATGAAGGGTATTCATTTTCTGCGTCTGTCCCCCCGAGTTGTGGACAAACTCTGATCTCAGCAGAGGGTTAGAATTTGCCCAGAACTTATCTTTCAAAGTCCTCTACCTGCCACGCTCTGCAGAAAGACAGGAAATCCTGCACTGTGATACCTACACTCACAGGTGTACACTACACACACACACACACACACACACAGAAAAAAGAGAAAGTCAGATGCATTTACTCGCTCATGCTTGAGCACTACTCTTAATAGACTCTAAACCTTAATCTTGATGCACAGGCACACTTACTTAAACAGTCAAACATGCATGCTTACACTCACTGACTGACTCAATAAGTGAAAACCATCTACACACACACACGCACACACACACGCTTATTCCTCGGGGGATGGCTGTGTGTGGCAGTAGAGGACATTTGGAGAGCTGTTGCTGCTGTTGCTGAAGTGTTGTGCTTCCTTCCACCCTGATAATTAGGCTGATGGGAGCGTCACACACACTTAAGGCCCCGGTCTTCTCTGACAGACAGGCGGGAGAGAGGGAAGGGCATAGGGGAGAGAGAGGGGAAGGAGAGACGTGTCTGGCTCCTTTCTCTTGCTCATATGTCGTCCTCAGTTGAGAGATGGGTCTCTACCTATGGGTGTGCGCCAAGCTGCCGCCTGTCAGCTTGTCTGTGTGTGTGTTTGCATATTTCAGTACTTATGAGGATCAGATGTCTCCACAAGGAGCTGATATAAATTGAAGAATTTGCCTCAGGCTTTAAAGAGAACGGATTTTGTTATTATAGGAGCGTTTTGCCATTTTCTGGGCTTTTTAGTTGTTTGTTGCTTTGCTTTACTTTTTCCTCATGAATAACTGGCCGAACACAGATGGCGAGACATCACACTGAGATATTTCTAGCGTGGCGAAAAGTGGAGCTTGATGCAAAAACAAAACATTCAAAGATCTCAACCGTCAGTAGTTAGCGCCAGGTTTTGGTCAGTCCCTCAGAACTAATATCAAGAGCCTCCAGTCTGTGCTGACATTCAACAGTTACACACAGAGAAAAGAGGCAATTATGGATTCTCTGTTGACAGTGACCTCAATAGATGACAATGAAAGACGGCCATTAGAGACAGTAGTCATTAGTGACATGTCTGTGCAGCCAACTATACGGTGTTTTCACCACAAATATCTATCTTCGACTGAAAGCAGCAAGTAATGGCTAGTCTTAAAGTGATTTCGAAAGGCAATCTTGGAGATGAAGCAAACAACTAATAAAAACGATGCAGGTTGAGATACAGTGGGTAAACCAGGAACATACATCACAACATCTAAATGCTACCACTCCAAGAGAACACTGTTCCAAGTTTTGATTACATACAATATGTAATTTCCTGCCGTGAGAATTCTCTCAATCAAATCAGTAACAAAATACGGAGCAATGCCGTCATTGCATAATCACACAGAAAGCGTTTTAGCAGCCACAGGCGGCTTTTTGCAATAGTTTTTGATGAGAATAAGCCTTTTGCTCGCTGTTTTTGCATCATGTTTCTGCGCTTTAGGCACCTGGCCTTTTTGCAGAAGCACTCTGAACTCCTCAAGTTGAAAAAACTTCAACTCAAAGCGGAAAAGCGCCTCGCGACATCTCTGTTTTCGTCATCTTTTTTCCCATAGTCTGATGGAATGATTTAAGAAGAGACCCTCCTGTGGTGGTCACGACAACAAGTTTACAGTTGGTAAACAATGGAGGAGAAACTGGTGGTATACCCAGAGCTATACGGCCCGGCGATAGACAGCAGGTTGTCAAACCGCCCCTGAGTCATCCTAAAACATGCCTGGAAACGGCCATCATGGAGGAGAAGCTCCTGGACCAACTGGTGGTACTCCCCATGACCCACCCTCTTTTTTAGGGTCTCATGTACCCACACAGATCTCTGTTTATCACCCTCAACCAGAGCTACAGCAAGTGCCCTCTGCCTCAACATTTTAGGGGCTAGATACTGATTACTGTCAAATAACTAAAATGAATAAACTGTACATTGATTACACAGGGAGGTTAGAAAAAGGAGGTGAGTCCTTGGTTGCCTGGTCGCTTGGCATTTTGCAACCTGCAAAACGCTTTCTGTGTGATCGGGGCCTAATGATTCCTTCGGTGTTCATTGTTCAGGAGGTTTTTCCTGGGAGCCAAATTATCTGCAGAGGTCTCTTTTTTTCCAAAACAAACACATCATGGGATTAAAACATGTAAAAACACTGAATAAAGCAGTAACTTGTTTAAATTCAGTGTGTTTCTGATGCGGTTTGGTACGGCAGGGGCTGAAGCCGAGCTGCCGCTAAAGCTTGCTTAACTTGTTACTCTGATTTAAGATCGAGGTGTCCAAATACTAAAATCCTTCATCTGATGAAAACATGCAGTAAAAACAACCAAGCTCTAAAAGTAGTGTTGTAAAATGTGGCTTAAAACTGGATAAAAAGTCAATTTATGACAGCCTCAGACAACACAAAGGGAATTTATGCCACAGCAAAAATGACCGTGTCCTTGAATAAAATTACATTTGTGTCTGGGTTTGAACATTGTTGGAAATGTTTGGGATAATAAAGGTACACATTTGACATTTGAACTTTAAAAGATAGTACAAATAAAACAACCTCTCCTCCAGAAAACTGACATGTTATTTAAAAGCATTAACAAATCAAAAACATCAGTCCATAAATTATATCTATCATAACATAACATTATCTAACATCATAATATTATCAAAGGGTGGATTAGAATTAGATAATTAGGTTAGGATTTAAGAAGTAAGAGCGACTTCGCTGTAATCTTGTTTGTCAGAAAAGCTTTGTTCTACTGACCTCTATGGGCTGAAAGTCTGAAGTCTGTTGTGACCAAAACAACTGTTTGTTGTCCCTGCATTCTGTTTTTAGCTGATAAACTAAACACATGCTGTCTTTTTTTATTTTCTAAATGTGCACTACCTTTTATCTCGTCCTCTTTTCCCCTCCCAAAGCCTCAGAGAGCTCATCCAAAGCGCCCTCGCAGCTCCTCTGCGCGCCTCCACACCCACAGGATGTCGTCCTTCATGAGTGTGGGCTCCCTCTCAGCCCTCACCTGCACCACTGTGGGGAGCAGCATGTCCTCTCTGGTCCCAGCGGCTGAGGAGAACACGGAGACAGAGTGTCCAGGAGCAGCAGAGGAGACGGACCGACTTCCTTCAGAGTGTGAGTTGTCAAACAGGCATCTTAACAGTAATACAGTTGTCAAAATGAGCACATGTAAGACAAGGGCATGTTTGCACGCTGGCAGAAGATGTAAATGTCTACAGTCTAAATATATAAGAAACATTTCAATGTCAAACATTAATGAAGGTCTTTGAGTAACGTATGCAGGGGTGCATGCAGTCTCTCTCACCCACCCATCTCCTTTTTGTTGAAGGAAAGCGCAGCACAGAACACACCCAGTCCATTTCTGAGACACACAAAAGCACAATCACACCAACGTTTGTCTGTCTATGCTCATAAGGATTATATTCATTCACCAAATCCTAAGAGATACCATGGGGTATAGGTTGCTCTGAAAGTGTCTGACACACACGTCTTAAGGTACACCTCTTCTTCTAAAGATCTGAAAACACGCCAGAAGCATTATAAGGTACATCAAACCCATTTGGGTTCAATACCCGGCTCCTCCAGCCCACATTTGAAGTATCACTGGGCAAGATGCTGAACCCCAAGTTGCTCCCAACGGCTGTGCCATCAGTGCGTGAGTGCATGTGAATGTTTAAGGCAGTGATTCTCAAATGGTGTGCTGTGATGCCAATCCAGGTGTGCTGTGGGATTTTGTGATAACCACACATTATTATTGCAATAATCAACTGGGCCTATACAAAAAGTTATGAATGACTTTTTAATTGACTGTATCAGTATGTTGTGCACACCTATTGCCTAATAAAGAGGCAAACTCTAGCGAAAAAATTTAATTTATTTTAATTTAAAAAACCTTCACAGGGAACCTATTTGTTGCTGTTTGTGTGTGAGAATTATACTAAATGTGTGACACATCAAAAGCCCTGATTGGCAGCCAGTGTGAGGGATGATAACATTTAAAGGAGACAGCCGTGAGTGGGACAATGGATCACTTTATTGTACGGAGCAAATTACAACAAAGCACCAGCAAAGACGACCTACTAGCTAAAAAAAAGGAGGATAAAAACAGTAGACAGTATCATGAAAACTAATTTTTTATTGTCTTATGTCATGGTAAGAGATAGAAGCATTATAGAAGCTGTTGTGCACAGTTATAAATACAGGTGTGCCTTGAGATTTTGGCTGCCCTTAGCTGTGTCTTGGACACAAAAAGTTAAAAAAAAATCCCCACTGGTTTAAAGTGAGTAGCAGGTGGCACTTTGTACGATAGCCTCAGCGACTAGTGTATCAATGTGTGTGTGTCAGTGTGACTCCATAGCATAAAAGCTCTATGAGGGATCGAAAGACTAGAAAGGTACTATACAAATGCAAGTACATTAGCATTACCTGGTGACCAAAGTCAGTGAGGCAGAGAGGACAGATGGAGATGCAGATGTTCAGTGAGAGCGCGCAGCAGGGGCAACAGCAGACAGCTGACGTTAGCTCTGTTAGCTTTGCTTAAAACTTTATGAACAGTACAGTTGTAATTCTGAAATGCCAAATAAAAACAGCTATCACTGCCAACAGATATACAATACTAACTACTCTATCCTATAGGACTTGCACACGTGACCACATCACCACAGTCCTCCACAACCTTCACTGGCTGTCCGTTAATCACAGCATACACTTTAAGATCTTACTCATCACCTACAAGACCCCTAACAATCTAGTTCCTTCAGATCTCTGACCTCTTTCATCAGCACTTCCCCTCCCGTTGTCTCTGCTCTACTGATGCCAACCTCCTTCAAATACCCAGGACCAAGCACTGAACCTGGGGTGACAGGGCGTTATATAATCCATCCATCCATTTTCATCCACTGGGTCACAGGGGCAGCAGGCCAAGACAACCCCTGCAGACGTCCCTCTCCCTAGCAGCGCTACCTAGCTCCTCTTGGGGGACCCCAAGGCATTCCCAAGCCAGATGAGATATGTAATCCCTCCAGTGTGTTCTGGGTCTGCCCCGGGGCCTCCTACCAGTGGGATGTTCCCTGAACGCCTCTAACAGGAGGCGCCCAGGAGGATCCTGATCAGATGCCCGAACCACCTCAACTGACCCCTTTCGACACAAAGGAGCAGCGGCTCTACTCCAGGTTCCCTCCAGATGCCTGAGCTCATTACCCTATCTCTAAGGCTGAGCCCAGACACCCTTCTGAGGAAACTCATTTTGGCTGCTTGTATCCATGACCTCATTCTTTCAGTCACTACACAGAGCTCATGACCATAGGTGAGGGTTGGGACATAGATGGGCCAGTAAATCGAAAGGTTCGCCTTCTGGCTCAGCTCCCTCTTCACCATGACAGTCCGGTACAGCGCATGCATCACTGCGTCAAACCACCTATCCAACTCAGCCTCACTCGTGATACTTGAACTCCCTTGCTGGCAGTAACTCTCTCCCAACCCATGACGATGATGTATTATCATTCTACATCTTAATCATTGTGTTGTCACGTCAGATACTAAAAACAAGCAAAATAAAAGCTTAGACCCCTTGATAGTTAGTAGACCCCATAACAGCAATTAATTAACACAGCATATGATGAGCTGTACTTTGTGATTTTCACCTACCTGGAAGAAAAAATAGAAATAGAAGTGAGGTGTCTGGTCCCCAGTGGCTTACTGCTAAACAGCCAGCGAAATTGGTGTTATGTAGTGTTATGAGTTATTAAAATATAAATATATAGAACATTAATTGGAGGTATTTGTGGTGCTGGATGGGAGATGTGTTGGAGGTGGGCTAAAGAGCCACATGTGGCCCTGTAGCTGCAGGTTGTCTACCCCTGTACCAGGAGAACAAAAGAACCAGCCCTACCAGTCACTCTCCATGAAAACACCCTCACCGTGAGGACAGGAAAGTCAAGATTTGTTCACAGAAAGAGAGAAGTTTCATGAACACACACACTCACAGGAAACTCTGTTGTCATAGAAACAGCTGTTTGACATGAACTTTTGATCACAAAGCCTTAAAAAGTCACTTTATTCCTGCGGATAGAGAGACAGCTTTACAAAAGAAAAAAAGAAACGTGATGGCACCCGAATTCCCTGTCCGACGACATCAACACACACACACACACACACACACACACACACACACACACACACACACACACACACACGCACACATGCACGCACACATACTCTTAGCCACCACCTGCTGAGTTCGAAATGGAAACCAAAATAAGAGCTGGGTCTGTTCAGAACACTCCTCAGCTGGGTGATCAGAGCCTTTCTGCCAGGGCTCAGCCCTCCTGTGCCCTGCGCTAGCTCCCAGAGTGCACTGCTTCAGGCTTCAGAGCGAAGTATAATTAGTCATCTGATCTCCCCCACCACCCCCGCCTCCTGTAGATTACAGGTTTCATATCATTACCTCCTGATGAAAGACTGTTGAGCTAGCCGTCGCTGCCTGAGTCATTGTCGGGTTGTTGTTTCTTCTTTTTGGTCTCCATTACTCTCTTGCATCCCCCCCCCCCCCCCCCCCCCCCCCCCCCCCCCCCCCCCCCCCCCCCCCCCCCCCCCCCCCCCCCCCCCCCCCCCCCCCCCCCTCCCTCCCTCCTGCGCTCTCGCTCTAATCATAAAAGGAGTCCAAAAATCAAAGGATTAATTCAGCGCCATTGGTTTAAAGCAATTAACTGCTGTTCAGGCTAATCCCCAGAGTTATGTCTCAAATCCAGAAATTGGCCACTGGAGATGTGCTGCTCTGCCCACACTACATTGTTTTGCCTGGTAAATGAATTTGAAAGAGGAGTTCTATACTTTGGGAAAAAAAAAAAAAGCAAAGTAGTTTTTCAAACTCTTTGATGAAAAAAGGGAATTGTAAAAGTTTGAATAATTAGGAGATTTATCTTTGCATTTCAATGCCTCCCCCAGTAGTTTTTTTAGCAGCACAGATAGTTAATCCGTCGCATTCATTTGGGATAATTAAAATAAGAAGTCTATTTATTCAATCTAAAGCCAGCCAATTTGCAAAAGTTATTGGCTATTACATTTTTGGCTGCAGGTTTTTATAGCTGTTCCTCGTGAGAAATCAAGCTATACATTTTAATAAGCGCCTCATCTCCCTGATTTGCCACAGTGTGATTAATTTTGTCACAGCCCATAGAGAAGTTGAATCATTTAGGCTGGTATTTAACATTTTAATGGATGCTTTATACTCTGGGGAAGCTTGTGAAGATTTATTGTGTCATCGCTGTGTGTGACATCTATGTCTAAACTAGGAGATGATGCTTTAGTGGGATTACAGGCAGGATGAACTTTCTCAATCAATTTCATGGTGTAGTGACAGTGTGGTAACAGCAGGGGGAGCTATGGGATTATATATGAAAACAACACAGACGACACATTTTATCTTCATACTGTAACTTTGTTATACACTGGGGCAATGCATGCATCACAGTGATACTTGCAGGAGCTACAGTTCTTCTCATATTTTTGGATTATCATCAAATTAAAAATCACTTAAACACATTAAATAACAGGTCAGATGAAGGTTCAGGAAAACATGTAACAGATAGCAATTTACTAACATATGGTGCAAATGGCTCATAGCCAGAAGCTGTAGTTTCCATCCCTTGTGGCCTCCATCCATCCATTTTCATTTGCTTATCCGGGGCCAGGTCATGGGAGCAGCAGGCCAAGCAAAGCGCCCCAGACGTCCCTCTCCCCAGCGACACTTTCCAGCTCCTCCTGGGGGACCCCAAGGTGTTCCCAGGCCAGATGAGATATGTAATCCCTCCAGCGTGTTCTGGGTCTGCCCCGGGGCTTCCTACCAGTGGGACGTGCCCGGGACACGTCTAACAGGAGGCACCCAGGAGGATCCTGATCAGATGCCCGAACCACCTCAACTGACCCCTTTTGACTCGAAGGAGTAGCAGCTCTACTCCGAGCTCCTTCCGGATGTCCGAGCTCCTCACCCTATCTCTAAGGCTGAGCCCAGACACCCGATGGAGGGAAGTAATTTTGGCTGCTTGTATCCAAAATCCCATTCTTTCGGTCACTACCTAGAGCTCATGACCATGGTCCCCTTGTGGCCTGTGATACCTTAAAACAAAGCAGCGTATACTTCACCTTGACACAGTTGTGAACATGATTTGTGAGTGGAGATTTTTTAATTTTAAGGATTTTTTTAAGGTCTAAAGTGGTAAAAGTGTTCAATATTTCACAAGAAAATATGTTTAGCTATTAGCCTCTCACCCACTGTCAGCTGGGATAGGATCCAGCCCCACCACGACCCCTAACAGGATAAGCAGTCACGGAAAATGAATGAATGAATGAATGAAGAAAAGTGTAGACAAGCTTTTTGATTTCTACCTTAATGATCCTGTTGGCCCTCACATTTATCTTTGGACCCCTTTATGGGATCCTGACAGCACAGGACATGAAATCTGTCAGGCACAGCTGAAGGCAAGCTTTATTTATTTATTTACACAGTATATTTCATTCACAGGGAAATGCTCAAAGTGCTTCAGCTGAAAATGAAAAAGGAAAGAAAGACAGAGAGAACATAGTGACAGCCATTCACAACAAGCACACATGAAGGAGCAAAAATTATTCAATTACAAAGGATGAAAAACTCTTTCAGGCTGCTTTTAAAAGAAGTTGGAATTTGGGTGCAACTCAAACTCATCTGAGAAGTAACAACTAAGAGCTGCTTTACCCATTTATGAATAATACCGTTGTTCAGCAGGTATACCAGGTGACCTTAGAGGTCATCAGGCGATGTTACAAAATTCAGCTCCATTACAGCTCACAAGGTTCACTCACATGACGCCAGGATCAATCACACACAAGACTTTTTTTGTGGAGGCTTTATTGTCTTCACAATTTATTGTTTCTTATCTGTGAAATTAAAGTAAATGAAAGCTTTGTTTCCACTGAGGGAAATGGTTTCAGTTTACAGAAACAGACAGGAGGTCTGCGTCACCATAATGTGTATTTACATCTCTGGGGAGATGCATGTCAGGCTACGACCTACAGTAGGTTACGGCACTGATCCAACGCAGAGTTATAAATCCTGCTTAACAAGCAGAGTGTACGCACGTTGTGAACCTGCATAGCAGGATAATGCTGCACCATTCTGACTTTAGACCAGGTTTTTGTTGGTCGATGGCGCAATCACTTTCTGCTGCCTCAGAATAGCAACATGCCAACAATGCACCTGAACACACCTCATTTTAAGACCTACACCCCCATGATTAGACAGATGGGTGCAAGTACATTTGGTGCTTACACAAAGTAGGCACTTGCTGTGACAATGAAAATGTGCGCCTCTTTGTGCCTGACCTGACATCTGTCCAGACCCAGAAACCCTGCCTTCCTTCAACTCCACATCATGTGATAATGATAGCTGTTGCTGTACAAACCCTTCTAATCACGGACAATTAGAAAATTAGAGCTTGAGAGAGTTATAATTTATAATTAACCACGTGGATACAAGAGCAGGGAAAAAGTTTAATTACAGTTTTTGTCTGTTTGTTTTTTTCATTTCTAGGTCTTCACACGCTGTCAGATGTCCACCAGAAAGTCAAGACAGAGAGCCAAATCTCACAAACCAGCAGGTAAGTTCAACTTGCAATATACATTTTAACAGCCCTCTATCTCATGACTTGTATGTCAGCAGCCTGAAAGATAAACATGGAATAAAAGATTACAACCCAGCCGTCATCACCAGCCCTCTGCCATAAATCCTAAATCCTACCCCTGACTGCTGTTGCTCCACAGGGCAGGGCTCTCATTATGATTTAGGCACTTGCAATAACTGTAACAGTAGCCCAGGCTTTATTTCCCAGATCAACAGCAGGTAATCATAAAGAGGACAAAAGTCCAAGCCGTCATGACCGGGGCTATATTCCCGTCACCCCGGCATGATCGTGTAAAGAGAAGAAGCCAGCGACAGCAGCAGCTCAACCTGCACTCTTCTCACGCTCTCTGCGGTGACAGCCCTTCAATTTGTGCTTCTATTTTTGGTCCCCTTCATCTTCATTCCTCCTCTGGCCTATTCAGAGTTTTAAAGGCAGTGATCTGAAAGACTATGTCAGGAATTTGCTGCAAAGCGTCAGTGGAATTGTGTTGTGTCTGAGGGGACAAAAGGGCAAGCTGTAAAATGTTTATCAGCGACATTTCATCTGTGCTCTCTACCTGATATTTACCTTGGCTGTTAAAGGTGTGATCACATGATTACCACCATTCAATGACTGATTACATGTTCCAGATGACTGTTTTCTCTCAGCCGGCTTTCAGTAATTACGGGTTTGTGCCAACAAGGTCTGCGTCAACATTTGTGCTTCAGATGGCTGATGATTCAAAACCTTTAAGTACATGTTTATATGCATTTCAGCTGTTTTGCATTCAATCCAAACAACAAATATAAACACAGAAAACAATTGTACATAAAATACAATAGCACATGAAAGTCAATCGAACAATTAGCCCTAGAATACATGTGAAAGTGCTTCAGTCTGTTAAATGCTACATTTACAAACAGAAAACCAACAATAAATGGCACCATTAAACCAGCCTTACTAAATACTATGCGAATAAAATTGTCTTCAGCTTGTAGGGCTGTATGAGGTCTGGCTGTACTCAATCGCTGTTCGTCTGTTTACCTTCAAAAAGTAATGCATCACAATTTGTACATATCCAACGTATCATGAGCCAAAAAATCATGTAAAACCCACGTAATAGGGAAGGCTATGAACATGCAACCGATGCGCTGACATGAGCAAAGAAGGAAGTAGTCCGTGTAAGGAGTCAGGTTGGGGTGATGGATTGGTCATAGGACTTTCACCCGGGACACTTGTGTTTGGGATGTTGTGAGACCAAGAGAATTTGGAGTAATTTTATGGTAGGTTGTCACCATGTTGCTTTTCCTGAATGTAACCTACATACCTTTAGAAGAAGAAGAAGAAGAAGAAGAACTTTATTTATTCCCAAGGGGAAATTAAATTTTTTTCATTCTGTTGTCACATACACTAGGGCTGCAACTAACAATTATTTTCTTTGTCGACTAATCATTTTATCAAAAAATGTGTTAAAATGTTGAAAAATATTGGTCTGTCTCTCCCAAACCCCAAAATTATGTCATCTAATGTCTTGTTTCGTACTCACGCCAAAGGGTTTTAGTTCACCGTCATGGGAGAGTGTGTAAAGCTGCCAATATTTGAAAGTAAGAAGCTGCAATAAGAGTATTTTGGGGTACTTTATAGTACTTTTCTATGAAAATTGACTCGAACCGATTAGTCGACTACTAAAATAGTCACCGATTATTTTAATAGTCGATTAGTCATCGATTAGTCGACTAATCGTTGCAGCCCTACAGTATACACACAGGCCTGAAATACATACACATGCACAAACAGGACCTATACATGCACTAAATGGAGAGATGTCCCATGGCTGCACATGAACAGGCGCCCCAAGCAGTTGGGGGCTCAGTGCCTTGTGAGAGGCGAACTGGCACCTCTCCAGCTACCAGTCCAGGCTCCATACTTTGTCCCTACTGAGACTCGAATTGGTGACCCTCAGGTTCCCAGTTCAGTCCTTATGGACTGAGCTACTGCCACCCCACATTAAGTGCATAATTTAATTTGTGGGTTGCTAATTCAGTTGTTATCATATAAACCGTTGTGTAAGCATACGCTGATAAGGTACTTATAAATAGTCAGTGTATTACCTACAGCCACATACCCACAAAAAATGAATATTGGTTTAAGTGTCGGCTTATTTAGAATATTTTCACCACTTTACTGTTTCGCCTGATGCCGTTATATTGCTCTCTTCAAAGCCAGACTGCATCATCAAAAAAAACAGTCATTTTACCTCACTGAATACAGGAGTTGCTCATCTACCACTGCCTCGATCTGTTTGTGTTACTGTGTGTAATCTTAACTAACCTTTCAAAACATCAAAGTTACACAATAACAGCAAACTAACTGATCGAGGAAGCGGTAGACCAGCAGCTCCTGTGTTCAGCAAGATAAAAGTATTGTTTTTGTTAATGGAGAGCATAGGAAAGTTTCATTTTCAGTTTACTTCCCCATCAGAAGGGGCTGTCTGACAGCAAAGTAAAGTGGTGAAAATATTCATAATGAAGAGTACAGTTAAATCACCTTTTTTTAGGTGGCTAAAATACATTTTGCTGCTGCCCCTTTCCACAGCAGTACATTGCTTAGCTTCTGTGGTGGTACTCCTGCCTGCTTCTCCAAACTGGCCGTGCTAACCACCATCTACTGTAGGTAATACACTGACTATGGATCAGTGCCTCATGCAGCCCCACCTCAAAAAATCCAAACTATCCCTTTAAAATGCTTTTGTGAAACAGGCAAGAGTTTATCTGTATCTGGAGAAATATCTCAGGTGACACACTGTAGTATTAATCCCAGTATTAATAGGTGTGACACTGTACCACATGTGACCTATCCCTATTTCAACAGTCTCTTTTATGAACAAGTCTTACTTGTAACCGTCTTCTCTTCCAGTTTGACTGCACCTCACTTCAAAGCACGGCCGTCACCCCAAAGGACGGGCGACCAAACTGGCTCCAGGACAGCGAATAGTTTTGTATGGCCAAAAAGGTGCAACTGCAACCGCACCCATGACTCATATACATGATTCAATAACCTTAATTAACTTATGTAACCTGCAGTTTTTGGCCTGGGTTATTGCATCTGTCAAAATATTATACCTATATCTTATAATGTTTCAGTGTTTCGTTCAAGATAAATAGACGTATAAAGGAGGGACGGTGAACAGCAAAACATACACCCCAACAAAAATATTGTTTTTAAAATATCTGTTATATTAGTGATACTTAAATGTTGATGTTACAGTTATATCTGGAATCAGACAAAGCTGCATGTGTCTTGTTGCATTGCCTCTCATGCACAGACATGTTTCAGAGACAACCGTGAAGCAAAATTAAGTTGTCTGACTATGAGCTGAGAAGTAACTAACCTGCCATTACAGACATTTTGTACGTCACATTTTGTATTATAAAGCTGAGGTATGAGTGTCTTAATTACTCAAAATATAAGGTGACTAAAAGTGGCAACATATATCTAGTTACAGCAACCAAAAGTTCCACCACTTTTAAAATGTTGAGCCCTGAAAGATACAATAATGAGGACAGGGTGTACTCTGTCTTTACATGTTATATGTTAGGGCTGCTACGATTAGTCGACTAATCGATGACTAATCGACTATTAAAATAATCGGTGACTATTTTAGTAGTCGACTAATCGGTTTAAGTCATTTTTCATAGAAAAGTACTATAAAGTACCCCAAAATACTCTTACTGCAGCTTTTTACGTTCAGATATTGGCAGCTTTACACACTCTCCCGTGACAGTGAACTAAATGCCTTTGGCGTGAGTATGAAACAAGACATTAGATGACATAATTTTGGGGTTTGGGCGAGACAGACCGACATTTTTCAACATTTTAACACATTTTTCGATGAAATGATTAGTCGACTAATCGAAGAAATAATCGACAGATTAGTCGACAATGAAAATAATCGTTAGTGGCAGCCCTATTATATGTATGTACAGTTCAAACATACATAAAACAGTAAAGTTATAAACAGTATAAAAGTCACAGCCCTTTCTTATATGTAATCCTGCAGTTGTACAGTAGTGTAGCACAACAGTAATCCTAAATTTACAGACAAATCAACTGGTGAGTTTTAGGTACAGAGCAATGTTCTTGACTCAGTCACCTCACCTCAGTTCAGCTGAACATGTTGCAGACTGGACTGAAGGCAAAAATGCTCCTGAATAAGTAAGAAGTGAAGGTTGCTGCAGCACAGACCTGACAGAGCATCGAGTGTCTGCACAGATCTGTGGGTCTTTGACTTAGAAAAGTCAATGACTGCAAAGAATTTTTCACCAAATATTCAATATGATGACCTCATTTAAATGTATCTTGATTAGTCTTGTAAAATATGTTTTGTGTAAGAAGAATTTGAGTTAATGCACTGTTCAGTTCAAATTAAAGCTGAGCTTGAGCACATTAACGCCATACTTATAATATATACACAGTAGTCAAAAGCTTGCACGAAGACACACTATACAGCATAATCATGAATATAAATCTATGACCACTACTATTAATTAATTAATTGTTTGTCTTTGTGTTTCCTACATCTAGCTGTCCTGCAAAGCCCCTGCTACATATCAGCCATCTCATCAACAACAAGACCACCATGCTGCAGGAGCTGAAAGCTGCCTTTGATGAGCGGGTTGAGGAGATGTCTCAGAGCTACATCAACATCCTGGAGCTCAAAGCCAGGTCCGTCAAACATCCGCAATATTCATTGCCTTATAGAAGCTCAGTTTTAGTAAGTTTTCCAACTTTTGCCAAGAGGGAACTTTAGATATTGGTCCCTAGATTATGTTCACCCAGTTTCATGTTGATCGGTCAAACTTCCTAGGAACAGATCGATTTGAAGTGTTTTTCAAAAAATTCAAAATGGCGGAAAATCTATATAACTGGAAGTTATGGGTTCTTGATGCACATGTGTTCCTCATGAGGAGAGGCATCTCTGTGCAAAGTTTCATGTCTCTACGACATACGGGGCATGAGATAGGCCCATTCAAAGTTTGCAATTTCAATCGGTTGCTATAGCGCCCCCCTTTGGCCATTTGATATAATATCGCTTCACTGGCATCCTCCCATGACCCTCTACCACTGTGCCAAATTTCACATGGATTGACCAAGTCAGTGAGGAGAAAAACGTGGAACAGACACACAGACACACCCACAGAGTTTTCGTCATTATACAGTAAGATACCTAAAGGAATAGTTCCACATTTTTAAAATAGCTTCCTTGCTAGATCTCTAAATCAACCGGGATGACAGTGTTTGTGCTCTGTTATGTCAGTCTGTGTTTAATACATATTTAAATATAAGTCCAATACAATGTGCCACTATAATGTAAACCAGGTGCTGAGTGGACGATAATGTGAGCTCTTGCAGGTTCCTTTGTTTTTAAATTCAGATTTCTTCTCCCACCCAGAGAGAGGTTAAACAACGGTCTCCGGAGGTATCGAGCCCAGAGTCACGTGACCCAATCCCATGGCCTTCCTCATCACATGACCTGCGCGTCCCCAGAGACAGAGGCTCCAAACAGCAACAATAAAAACACGCACAACAACAATATGTGGTATGCAACCTGCTGAAGACATTATCTAATGTGGAATGTGTAGCCGGGGGGATGGGGGGGTTTATTGGGGTGGGACAGAGGTCAAATATGTGTTTGCTCACATCTGTGGGACAGCATTCACATGTCCTATACATATGTGTTAATAGCCACATTAGAGCCAATAAACATCATATTCTGATGAGCTGTAGCATGATGTTATCAGTGACACTGTGGTTTGTTCTGTTATTTTTCTACCAGGCTGTCCACTCTGCTGAGCAGCCTGCCTGAGGAGGTGTGCAGGGAGCGAGCGGTGAGCCGGGTGCTGGAGAAGCTGAGTGGATTTGCAGAGCAGCAGACTCTCAGGGTTCAACCTCAGGTCTTCCTGAGGGTGCTGGGGGGTCTGGAGCCGTGGGAGCTCTGTCTGCCTGAGCTGTGTGTGGCCATCCAGGTACACAGAACACCTCCTCACACCACGTCTCACAAAGGAAATAGGAAAGGAATTGCTGCAACCAATGATAATTCTCTCCTTCGGATTATGCTGAGAAAATGAAATGAAATAATAAACTTACAGATGTTTTTTTTTTTTTTTTTCTTCAGTGTATTTATTAAACAGACTTCAAAGCAAGTAATAGACAGTGCAGGTACTGATTGCAAAACAGACGTCTGACATTTTCCAAAGTGTTAAATTTTCAGTCCATAAACAAACATAGAAACAAACAACACTTCAATCACCCCGAAATCACCTTCCCACCCTCCCAAATGTCCTAGTGGGTACATATCACACTTTGTTGAGTGCCAGAAGAGATAAAAAAAAGAGAATAAATAAAATAAAATAATGAGAAATAAATGAAATGGAAAAAAAAGAAAAAAAATCATAAATCAATTATAAATTAATTATAAAATAAAATAAAAATTTAAAAATAAAGACAAGGGGATAAAAAGAGTTATTGAGCAAATTAATTGTCTAATTTAGAGAGTTAATGTTGGAGAGAAAGGGGTCCCACACTGACTGTGTACTTGATTTTTTATAGGTGGAGAAAAGGACTTAATTATAGAAATGATTAGGTCACAATGATGTCAAAGTTTGAGCAAAGTTCTTATAGATATGTTTATAGATGAAGTCACGTATGATAATAAAGATATAGTACAAATCCTTGAGGTCTGAAATCACAAAATCAACCAGCAGTTTGACCATTGTCGTGTTTTCACTGTGTCATTTAGTAAAAATTACTTGGCTAATAAATGCTACGAACAGACAAAACAGCACTGCATGATATAAATGCAAACTAAATTACCGATTTGGTCCTGAAGGCTGATTTTCAAGATTATGGTGACTTTGCAAAAATTAGGGTTTTGTAGTTTGCACAAGTCTGAGATTCAGATTTCCCGACCAAACTGAAATAGTCACAATTAAGTGTAGCATTATGGATCTTTATAAATGGAATCTGGGCAGTTGTGATCCTGTGTTCGGTGGTCTCATTTATAAAACAATGAGTAGGATCCATACTAAAAATGTACGTACAAACAAAAATATTCAACAATTTCTACCATCTGCATTGGCAGTTTCTTGTCTCCAGAATGTTTGTAAGCATAAGCGGTGTACGCCTCTTTCAGGCCTCGTTTTGTGCGTATGCAAGGTTTATAATGAGACCCTTGAGCTGGGTAACATTGTCAATCTGCATTTGTACAAATGTGTGATGCTGAATTTTGATTGCAGTTGGATAACAGATAGAAATTCTCTTGTTCCCACTGTAAATGTTCTCTCATGATGTATTTTCACAGGCTCCATGTCACAAAAAAAGAGATTCTATTGTGGGATTTTATTCAACTCCTCTGATCTTCCCCCAAACTTAAAGCCAGACAGCAAACGATCAGTTACTCCCACCAAACCATCAATTAGGGATGAGCCCCACTCCCAAAACTAACAGACTCCAGACCCTCTGAACACGCCCCTACCGGTCAGAAATGAGGGGCAATAGATTCTTCCCAGCCTCCAGAGCAGATAGCTGAAGGTGTAATGACAGGAAGCCGACTGATAAATGACACCAGAGGACGGTCAAGTTGGCTCACTGATGTAGGGGGTCAGTGGTGGGGGGTCGGGCACGGTGTTCATTTTCAGGACAGTATGTGGCAGTGTCCTGCTCTGAGGCTCAGAGCTGAATCAAACAGACCACAGATGACTGGTTTGGTTTCCATTTCTGGCTCAGCAGGAGAACACCAGGGTGGGCTGGAAAGTTGTGTCAGGGTTTGGGGTACCAAAGTTTAATCTGGCATGATTGCCAGGAGTTTTTTTACAAAGCCAACAAAGATATGCTCTTAATTTTAATCTACAAGGCAGTTTTTGTCCAGTGTTTCTTACGTCATTATCTCTGTGATCATCAGTTGTCACATCTCAGTATGACATATTTTTCCCCGTGTCTGCCTCTGTTTAACTATCCCTCCTGCATCTTTCTTCTTCTTTGTCAGATTGCCACAGAACATGTGGTCCAGATGCCCAGGACAGAGTACGATGCCTGGTTGCGTTCAAGGGTCACTCTGCCCCCACAGTAACACCATGCCCCCAAACACCAGGTGAACCACACTCATTAAGACCTGGAGGACGACTACAGACATGGACAAATAGATGAAGGGAAGACAAACACACCAAGGTGGTGAATTAAATGTGAGCTTAAGGCTGAAGCCGCCTAAATTAGCCTCAAAAGTAACGGGGGGAAATGATAAGTGAAAGTGATAAGTAAGAGTTATTTTGCATTTAAGCTGGCAGCACAGACAATGCCAACTTGAAGCAAATCACAGGGTTAATGATAAGTAAAAGATAACATGAAAAGAAACTCAGCAACTCAAACTTAGAAGATGTTATCGTTATTATTTTAAAGTTAAACTCAATTGCTGAAAGACAAGGAAGAATTAGATTAAAACAGTGTCTTTAGGTCCTTAAAATGTCTTAAAATACCTTTAATTCCTTATTTAAGACTAGTCCATACCCATTGAGTGCACAGTTGCCCAAGTACAGTTTCACATGGTGTGTGTTTGGGATACAGGTCATAGGAAATTGCAGATTAAATAGTCAACTGAACCCACTAAGAAGAGCAATGTATTCAGACAGAGTGTTTGTGAATTTGATTGTACGATTGCTTTATTGAAAGTACAGTAGCACCATTGCCAATAGAGGCATAGTTAGTGGGCTAAAACTGTACATTAGTAGTTGAGGTAGCACGTTGAAAGGCAGACAGTTAAAGTGTTTATATGTTGTATTGACTTAAAAGTGGGGCGCACTGGTAGTTCACATGGGAAAGGTGCGGCACAGTTTGCCAAGAGGGAACTTTAGATATTGGTCCCTAGATTATGTTCACCCAGTTTCATGCAGATGTTTTTTTTTCTTCAGTGTATTTATTAAACAGACTTCAAAGCAAGTAATAGACAGTGCAGGTACTGATTGCAAAACAGACGTCTGACATTTTCCAAAGTGTTAAATTTTCAGCCCATAAACAAACATAGAAACAAACAACACTTCAGTCACCCCGAAATCACCTTCCCACCCTCCCAAATGTCCTAGTGGGTACATATCACACTTTGTTGAGTGCCAGAAGAGATAAAGAAAAAGAGAATAAATAAAATAAAATAATGAGAAATAAATGAAATTTTAAAAAAAAATTGAAAAAAAATCATATCAATTATAAATCAATTATAAAATAAAATAAAAATTTAAAAATAAAGACAAGGAGATAAAAAGAATTATTGAGCAAATTAATTGTCTAATTTAGAGAGTTAATGTTGGAGAGAAAGGGGTCCCACACTCTGACTGTGTACTTGATTTTTTATAGGTGGAGAAAAGGACTTAATTATAGAAATGATTAGGTCACAATGATGTCAAAGTTTGAGCAAAGTTCACTCAGTTTCATGCAGATCGCTCAAACTTCCTAGGAAGAGATCGATTTGAAGTGTTTTTCAAAAAATTCAAAATGGCGGAAAATCTCTTTCACCGGAAGTTATGGGTTCTTGAGGCAAATGTGTTCCTCATGAGGAGAGGCATCTCTGTGCAAAGTTTCATGTCTCTACGACATACAGGGCATGAGATATGCCCATTCAAAGTTTGCAAATTCAGTGGGTTGCTATAGCGCCCCCCTTTGGCCAATTGATGTAATATTGCTTCGTTCGCATCCTCCCATGACCCTCTACCACTGTGCCAAATTTCACATGGATTGACCAAGTCAGTGAGGAGAAAAACGTGGAACACACACACAGACAGAGTTTTTGTCATTATATAGTAAGATAAATATCAGGCCTTAAAAGCCCTTACATTGTCTTAAATTTGAATGTATGTGCTCTTAATTGCCACAAACATTTCACGTAATTTAATTTACACAGCTTTTTTATTTCTTTTTGTCAAAAAGAATCAAAATCTTCTGCATCAAAGTTCACATTTCTGATGTTACAAATCGTTAAACCTGCCACTAAACCTAATACTCTGCTTTTACTTTTTACTCACACTCACCTGTTGGCAAAATGTACATTAACCTAACTCACTCTAATAACCATATTCCTACATAAAACCTACATCTGCACAGGACCACATACATACTACTTACCTTTATATTTACCTGCAGTGCTTGAATAAAAAAAAAAGATGAATAGTCCAAAGATCACTTTTGAATTTGGTTAAAAAATATCTTTAAAAGTTCATTAAATTTAAGTGTCTGATGCCTGTAGACAGCCTGCAAATGTGCAGGACTTTTTACCCAAATAAGCACATGGTCACACATGTGTACAGGTCGGGATAAACACAGAGATACAGGCACACACAATGAGGGAGAAAGCAGGATGTTTGAGTGGTGCATACCTTTCAATCTACAGTCAAGGGTTACAAAGAGCAACTAAATCCCTTCCTGGATGCCTGCTCACTGTTTTCTAACACATTTCTCTGTAAGTCTCCACAGATGATGTAATTCAGTCATTAGTTCTTTAGTGCTATGTGGCCAAATATTTTTGTGTTTGTCTATTTGTTTGCACTAAATGTCCCAGTGCATCATTTTACTTGCATCTTGCAGCAGCCATTTCAATTGTAACTACCAAGTTCTTCTTTTATTCAGTCTTAACAAACCACTGCAGATGTTGCCAAATATAAAATTCGTTGTAAAAACCACCCCTTCCTGTTTGCAAGAACATTTTTCCTGGAAAGTCCTACTTGACTCAGTGTTTAGACGTTCTGTAGAAGCTTTTCCGAGGCGGTTAGGTTGAGTCACTATCACACACAGTATTAGCTGTCTATAGAGAACAGCATAAAAGGCATTTACATAAAAATATAACAGGCCTCTGTTTGAAATGTTTCTTTCTGCTAAAGTGCGGGGCAAAGTTGACATTAGCGATCCAATGGTACAATGGATGAACAATCTAATATACAGACACTCAGTTGTGCTGTTGAACCCAGCCAAACATGCACGTTGACCTTTAACCCCGCCTCGCCTCCTGATGGGGTTGTGAATAAAAGCGGCTGACCTTCAGCTCTGCCTGTTAGATAAGAATAATGAACTCTCTTTTCAGCGCCTCGACCAGCGTTTTGGGGAAATAGAAAGTGGCTGAAATCATGTCCTGTGAATGAGTGTTTGAACTTAATGTAGCTGAGATGCCTTTTTGTAGGGGAAATTAATGTTTGTCAAACATGATAACATATCGCACATCATTACAAGAAGCAGACAAATATGCTTCTGACTTCTAGTAACTTCTAGGCCTGCTTATCCATTCTTGATAACATGTATTGTATCTTTTTCCATGAGAGACGGGGCTGTGAGTCTGTCATGGTGGCGGAGCAGCTTGGAACGAAAGGGAAAAGTGCCTTGCCTTGAAGAGGAGGGGTGGGATCGGAAACAGGGGCAGCAGCGAGCTAGCACTCATTTCAGGAATGCCACACAGTCTGGGAGCTCAGCCCGCCCCCACACCCCTCGCTTAGCCCTGGGCAGGGGGATGGTGGGTTGCAGGGCGGCAGAGGAAAACATGAGGGGGGGAACAAGCATTCTTTCATTTGAACTCTTCACTCAGGTTTTAGAGCTCATGCTTCAGGCCACACAGTCTAGACCAAACCAAGTGGGAGATGGCAAATAAAACGCTGCTAATAATAAATATAGCTGCAAATCTGTGGATTTAAACTGTTATGGTTATGCACATAAATAGGATATAGAGCAGGGTCTGAAGCTGAATGAGTCTTATACCTACCATACACTGGAAGACTTAAGTCTGACATCACATCTCAATACAATGTCAATTTCTAGTCACACACGATAAGATTTAGCAAAGACTGCTAATCTAGCATGGTCACGATTTGCAAGACTACGACTAGATGCCTTTTGAGATTATTTGCCGTCCTGCTACCAGTGGAAAATATGACACAAAACTCTCTTTAAGAAATACGAATCCTTGATAATTCCTTATGTGTCCGCAAAAACAGAACAGTATTCTTGTCAATTTGGCACCAATATAATCTATAAAGACAAACTTTACATTTGGATTTTGTCACCTTAAAGGTCCAGTGTCTACGTTTTAGTGGATTTAGTGGAATCAAGTGGTGAGGATTGCAGACTGGAAACCGCTAAAGAGTTTATTTCGGGTCGAATTCCAAGAGCTGAATTATCCGCAGAGGTCTCTTCCTCTCCAAAACAAATGAACCAGGTGATTAAATCAGGTAAAACGTGTTTTTCCAACGCTCTCATGTCAGAGGGTTTGGTTTGTCTGTTCTGGGCTTCTGTAGAAACATGGCGATCTTTGTGGACAAGGACCTGCTCCCCATGTAGAAATAATTCAGCTCCTTCTAAGGTAGCAAAACCACAAAAATCTTATTTACAGGTGATTATACACTAAAGAAAACATACTTATTATATTATACTCCATTTCCGCTACCAGTCTCTGTTGGTTAGCTGCGCTTTTTTAGTTGGTGGAGACTGTGGGAATGGGGGCAAATCGTTTCAGCAATTATGATATCTCACTAAAGTCAGTGCTGGTAGGTGGATCAGATACATTTCGAGGTGAACTTTTTCACTCCACAACTCCACCAGTTTCCCCGACTTTCCAGAGTCCAAGAGAACTGAGACTTGTTCATGTTCTTGCACCTCTCTGGAGTCCTCTCCATGTTTCATGTCTACCCAGATTGCTGCTTCTCATTTGGTGCTGGAGAAAGCACACCTGCTGCTGTTCAGCCTACGTTCACATCATTAAACTTCACTATTTGCATAAGCCAAGACTAAAAACGTACAATATTAAACATGTTTGATTTTGTCGGAGCGTCAAGACGGGAATTTGTGTGCAACTGTGAAACCCCTTGAAAAGTCATTTGATGAAAGGCGGGCATTAGGTGCAGTGAGCATGCGCAAGCTGGTGTAGATAGAAGCATACTGTACATCAAGGATGCTTTAAGACCTAGAGTTGTCTCGCTTTGGTCTGAATCAGGAACAAATTTTGTTACAAAGCTGCATAATTGTCTAGAGTTGGTTCGTGTTCTCACGGCAGCATTCACAAGCGGACCAGATAAAATGCCTTGCACGAGAAAGCTGCTCTTGATTGGTCAGAATTTCCATGTGGGA